TTCCTATTGCGGTGTCAATTTGACGCGTAGTTCTGTAAATTTCGTGTCTCGAGCTGAGGTATTTTCTGGGTTTTGAAATTTGAACTCTGGTCCCTTGAAAAAATTTGAACTTTTTGGAGGTAAATGATTTTCGTTCTGGAGGGAAAAAAAGGACGGTCAGTCAGTGGCGAACTGGCGATATTGATTGGGTTCAATCGTTCTTCTTCTGGGCTTTTGTTTGTTCCTTTCTTTCGGTTGGTGCTTATTATTTTTTTGGCTGTTCGGCCGATGACAAGCCCAACCGGTGGTATAGGAATTGTGGCAGTAGATCTGCTTCAGCACTTCGTTGACCCGGCTTAGCCTGTTTGCGAAGAGCTTGCCCACTTTACCCCTTAAAGTGCCACGTGGGGGCGCTAGTTGCGCCCTTGTTGTAATTATCGACCATGGGCCTACGCTTTTGGTAAACCACTTCTTTGGAAGGCCCGATAGTGATTGAGCTCGTGAGATAACTTGCTGATTGTGTTCTTCCTATTCCCTTAACTTGCATAGAAGGAAAAAGGCGGCGCCTTTAGGCCTGTGGATCAGCCAAAAGCCGAGTCTTTGTTAAGTAACCTGTATGACTAAGACCTGCAGGCCCTTTGTATCTGTTTGCCTTTGTTTCTTTTCCCTCCCTTTCCTTTGCTGTTTTTCTGGGTCTCTCCAGTGTTCTTTTGGTTGCATGTTAACGTTAGCATGTCTATGTGACAGTCTCAGTCTGTGTGTTCAACCTATGAGGCTTTTCTTAGCTTCTAGTTTCTTTGCTATCATAGGAATCAATCTTGATTCCGTTATGATCTTTTCGCTCTCGCAGTGGATGTTAAACGATCCTTGTCTGTTCATTCACCTTTGTCTCCTAATGCGTTTGTCAAGTTTACTATAATAATGTGTTTTACCATCAAATGATCTATTTTAATGGTTGAGGAATGTTTTGACTTTCTTTCTTATCTGTGTACTCTGTGTATTTCTTTATCGCCTTGGTTGATGATGAGAATTTCCTGCTCACTTACAGCTACTGTGCATTTCATTTTGGTACTTGGATAGTTTTGCTGAATGATGGAGTGAATCTTGGTTTTGTTCCATAAAGCAGGGTTTTGATTTTGCTGTGGAAGAATGACGACTCCTGAAGAAATGACGACTCCTGAAGAAAGTAGTACTGTTCTATCAGACACTCCAGCTCCTGCTGTTGAGGAAAGCAAGCAGCCCTCATCCCCTGAAGAGGGAGAAAAGAGTGTAGCAGAGCCTAAAGAGAATAATCAGCCATTGCAATCACAAGATGAGACAATGGTGTCAAAGGAAGAGGATAATGAAAAGGTGTTGCCAGAAGTAGAGGACAACCAGAAGGTGGCGACTCAAGAAGTGGATAATCAAAAGGTGGCACCGCCAGAAGACGACAATGAGATGGAGTCACAAGAAGAGAAGAACCAGGAAGTGGCATCTCAAGAGGGCAACAATAAGGCGGACTCACAAAATCAGAATAATGAAGTGGTATCTCAAGAAGAAGATACAAATCAGAAGGCTGTAACTGAGGAAGTGAGCAACGATCGAACAGATGTGTCACTAGATCAGAGTAATGAGACATCAGTACCAGATGAGCAGAGCAATCAGGAGTTGCCATCACATGAAGAGAACACCCCGGAATCGGTTCCACACGAAGAAGATAGCAGTCAGAGGTTATCGCCCCAAAAAGAGCAGGATCAGACATTGGTATCACCGGAAGATACCGATCAGATGGCAGTGCCCCAGCATGAGAACAGTGAGATGGTAACTGAAGAGGGGAACAGTAAGTTAGCTGTGCCCCAGCAGGAGAACAGTGAGATGGCGGTGCCGCAGGAGGAGCTCAATGAGACGGTTGTGACCGAGGAGGAAGACAGTGAGATGGCAGAGCCTCCTCAGGAGAGCAGTCAGATAGGGTTGCCCCAGGAGAAGAGTGAGATGGTGGTGATAGAAGAGGAGAAGAGTGAGCTGGCGGCCCCTCAGGAGGATATCAATGAGATGGGTGAACCTGAAGTAGAGAGTAGTGAGGTTTCGGTGCCCCAGGAGGATCACAATGAAGTTGTGGTGACTGAAGAGGAGAAGAATGAGGTGGCAATGCACCAGCAAGAGAACAGTGAGATTATGGTGCCTGAGGAAGCGAACATTGAAGTGGCGCCCCCCCAGGATGACAACACTCAGTTGGTAGTGCCCCAGGAGGAGAGCACTCAGATGCTAACACCACACGAGGACGACAACACACAGATAGACACTCAAATGATAGATGAAGACACCACTACTCAAATGATACCGTCTAACGAGGATAACAAGCCTCAAATGATGATTTCGCACGATGACAACAGCAGCCAATTGATGATGACAGATGAACACCACATGGTGGTGTCTCATGAAGAGAACCACCACCAGATGCTGATGTCACATGAAGAGAACAACAATGATCAGATGGTAGACGGCAACCATCATCACATGGGTGACCAGCTAATGGTGATGGAAGAAGATAGCCACAACAACCAGCTGATGATCCCTCATCATGATGAGGAAAACAACAGTCAGTTGATGCTCCCCAATGACGATGACAACAGCGACCTGGTAACTCCCGACTCCCGGCCCAACAAGCGAAGGAGGAAGAAATCCGTTGTCTGGGAACACTTCACCATTGAGACAGTTGGGGATGGTTGCAGAAGAGCTTGTTGCAAGCAGTGCAAGCAGAGTTTTGCATATAGCACGGGTTCCAAAGTCGCTGGGACCAGTCACCTCAAGCGCCACATAGCAAAGGGCACTTGTCTAGCCTTGCTCCGAAACCACGGACATCCTCAAATGCTGTCGTATAATGATACCCCTGGAGGTGCAACTAGCAACCCACCAAAACGCCGATACAGATCGCCCAACTCTTCCTCTTACTTCCCCTTTGACTCTGACCGATGCCGCCACGAGATTGCAAAGATGATCATCATGCACGACTACCCGCTTCACATGGTCGAACATGCCGGATTCATGACTTTCGTCTCAAACCTCCAGCCTCGATTCGGAATGGTGAGCTTCAACACTGTCCAGGGAGATTGTGTTGCTACGTACCTGAGGGAGAAGCAGAACGTTATGAAGTTTATTGAAGGACTCCCTGGACGCGTTACCCTTACACTGGACATGTGGACTTCTTGTGAAAGCATAGGCTATGTGTTCATCACTGGGCACTTCATTGATAGTGATTGGAAGCCGCAGAAGAAGATGCTGAATGTAGTGATGGAGCCCTATCCTGATTCAGATGCTGCCCTCAGCCATGCAGTGGCGTGTTGCCTTTCTGATTGGAGTTTGGAAGGTAAACTGTTCTCTGTTACCTTTAACCATCCTGTTGGAGATGCTGGTCTCGAAAGTCTTTTATCTTTGTTGTGTATCAAGAATACGCGGATTCTCAACGGTCAGCTGGTGCTTGGCAACTGCATCTCACACACCTTGACCAGCATGGCGAAAGAGTTGTTGTCAACGTGTCGAGATCTTGTGTCGAAAATCCGCGACAGCGTGAAGTACGTGAAGACCCTCGAATCCCACGAGGACAAGTTTCTCGATCTCAAACGGCAACTGCAAGTCCCATCGGACAAAAGCCTCCAACTTGACGACCAGAGTCAGTGGAACACGACGTATGAAATGCTTCTAGCTGCTTCGGAATTGAAAGAAGTATTTTCATGCTTGGATACCTCTGATCCTCACTACAAGGAAGCACCATCAATGTTGGAGTGGAAGCAAGTTGAAATGATATGCTCAATACTGAAACATCTGGTCGATGCAGCTAACCTTCTCTCATCCTCGACCAACCCAATTGCAATCACTTTCTTCCATGAAGCCTGGAGGATTCAAGCTGAGCTCTCTAAACTTGCTGCTATTGGTGATCCTTTCATCAACAATTTCATCAAAGAACTGCAGGACAAGATCGAGAAATATATCAAAGATTGCAGCTTGGCTTTAGCAGTTGCAGTAGTGATGGACCCTCGGTTTAAGATGAAGCTGGTCGAGTTCAGCTTCTCCAAGATATATGGTGACGATGCTCCCGCATACATAAAGATCGTAGACGACGGGGTCCACGATCTGTTCAAGGAGTACGTGGCGCTGCCTCTACCGCTGACACCAACATACGAAGAAAATGCAGACCCCAACCTAAGGAATGAAGAGAACCAGCAGGGGGCAGTTGTGGACAACGGGCTGGCAGATTTCGATGTGTATATTATGGAGTCCACGAGCCACCAGACGAAGTCGGAGCTGGACATGTACTTGGACGACTCATTGCTCCCGAGAGTGTCGGATTTCGACGTATTGGGATGGTGGAGGCAGAACAAGATGAAGTATCCAACACTGTCGAAGATGGCTCGTGATATACTGAGCATTCCGGTGTCTACTGCAACTGCGGAGAACGTATTTGACTCTGTGCTGCCGAGAGAGGTGGATCGGTACAGGAGCTCGTTGAGGCCCGAGACTGTAGAGGCACTCGTGTGTGCTAAAGATTGGCTTATTCATGGTGCTGCTGCAGCAGCAGAAGGTGGTGCACCGAGTGTCGGAGTGGTGAAGATGGAGCTTTAGGTTTGCTAGGAGTGTATGAGAGAGATGTGAGTAATGGTTACGGCTCCTGTCTTTTGTATCATCTGTTGGACCAGGTAGTAATGTAGGATGGGTGCTGGATTTGGGATTTGTAGTTTTGATCGTAGGAAGCTGTAATTCATTTGCTAATGGCGTTGTTAGGGTTTCTTACGCTTGTGTAGCTAATGGTTAACCCAATGACTTCAATGTTGTCTCTGTTTTTGTGCCTTTAACCATTATTGTTTTTGGTTAAGCTATGAGCTAAAAGAGTGAATATATTTGAATGTGTAGTATATTCTTACTTGGTACTTGTTTGACAGATGATGTGAACTGGAAGGCAATGAGGAGAGCTGAGGAAATGAAGAACCTGAAGAAGGATGTCAAGAAGAAGGCACTACTACTACTACTACTACTACCACTACTACCCCAAAAGATGTGTCAGCCATGGCTGGAAGTTCAAAGAAGAAGGCAAGCGGATCTGATGAAGAACGTGTCTCGGCTACGCACAGTCAGGTTGATGAGAAGGAAAATGATGACGAGGTTCGGTGGCATGCTGAAACATCTGCGGAGGCAGTTCCTTGGCGCATCCAGGAACAATTGAGTTCTGCTACTGCTGTAATGGTTATGCTTTCTACCATTGATACGGAGAAGAAGGCCAAAGAAACAGCAAAAGCAAATTGCAGCAGCCTGGAAGTTGCTGTTTCTCCTAGAGCCGAGGAGAAATCGAATTCGAAAGAGAACGAGAAAGAGAACGAGAAGACGAGCTCTGCCAGGACTCTAGCCAACGAGTTAAAAGGAAAGCATTGGTAAAGGAATCGCTGCCTGGTCTTCTGGATTCACTGCCTGGTTCGGGTAAAGGAAAAGATGGATGCTTTGCTTATGGCTTTGTTCGAGGGTGTCGAGAAGGGATTCGCCAAGGAAGCTGCCAAGAAGAAGATGTATCTGGCTGCTGCCATTGTAGCCCAAGGTGGAGATTCACAGTTGCTTTCTACTTGGTTCCATCCAGGGTTTCTTTCAGGAATCTTGTTCAGGTGTGGAAGTGGCTGTTGTTCTCATAGCTCTCTATGACGCTGGTGTTTTGGAGGAGGAGCAGATTCTGGCATTCTGCAGTGGTACGGAAATCTCTCAATGGAGACGACAGGGAATCTAAGATTCTGAAAAGAGTGCTCAGCCGTTTGTTGAATGGCTGCAGAATGCTGAATCGGAGAGCGAAGAGGAATGATTTGTAGGGTGTCCTATCAGTCAGTTGTCCTAATCATTTATGCTGTTGTTTGGAGTCGGCAGTTGTCTTCAAGGATGAAGTCAGTGTCTTTTGGGTAGTTTTATGGGAACATTACACTTGTGTGTCTCTTTTGTTATTTCCAACTTCTCTCATAAATCCTGTTTGGGGTTTGGATTGGAATAATTATTGTGTTTTTTTCTTCTTCTTCTTAAGCATTGATATATGTGCAAAGCTATGGTTAGTGACAATGGTGTAGCCAGAATTTAAGCTAAAGTAGTAAAGTATAAAAACATTGTATCCAATTGTAGATACATTTCTTTTAATATTAAATGAATTGTTATTCGGTTGTCTAACTTATTTAGCCCTTTATCAAATGTTTTCTCTAACGAATGAAAGTAGGCCGGTTGTAAACAAGTTACATAACTTATGTGTAATGAAATTATAAATGAAAAGTAATATTTCGATAGTTAAAATAAGCTTACTAGCATATAATTAAATATATTCATATTATAAATGTTGCAGAAAATTTTATCGAAATGACACGAATATAATGCGCTGAAATATCTTCTTAGTTACAAGAACAAACTTTTGTATATGTAAAGTACAATAAGAGATTTTTGAATTAGGATTAGAAGATCAATGATTTTTTTATTTTTTTTCCTGATCGACCAAATGTCCTCTACATCTCCCTCCGCCAAGAATTGGGAGCAACCTTGAACTCGTAATGTGTTAACTGTTAACCCCGCAACGCTTAATTGTCATGCATTTGGAAAAAAAGTATTAATTGGGGGAGCAAAGTTTCCATTAATCTTAAAGACTTCCCGAATTAGAAAAACAAACATTCGCCAAATCTAAAACTCGGATTCCAGTCCAGCTCACACACACCCACGTGGAGCAAACCCAATTCGCGACCCGGCCAAATCGAACACGACCCGGAACCCTTGCTGCTGAATATTCCCGATGATCGACAACCCGCCCATCGTCCCCGCGAACGCGAAGCAAAACGTGCCGGCGGTGTCCACCGGGACGAGGTAATTCGCCGCCGGCAGCGACACATCGGCGCCTCGGAAGTGCAAAACCAGCGTGGGCACCTTCACCTCCGTCTTCCCCGAAAGATCGAAGCACGTGTCGAACAGGGAGAAGTCCGGCGCCCGCTTCAGCGTCACCGCGCCGACCCGGAACGCATCGCGGAGCGACACGTAAGCAGGTCTGGTCAGCCTCGTGACCGAGGTGCCCGAATCGACGATCACCCCACCGTTCCCGGCCGGGTCGAGCTTGAAAAGCTCGGCCCGGATCCCGGGAACACGCGTCCCACCCACGCTGATCCCGAGCAGCTCCACGTAGTAAAACGTGTCGAGGCTCGGGTTAGAGACCAGCGGGGTGAACCGGGCGGTCCGGGAAACCGCCCGGTCGCCGAACATCATCGACGACGGCTTTGACGAAGCCGACCGGTCCACCAAGCAGTACGAGAACTTCCGGTTGAACCGCTGGCCCGTCTGCGAGGGGAAAGACAGTTTCCCTCTCCCCAGACCCATCAAACCCGCCGCACCGACGAAAAGCCCCTCGTTGTCGTGGCCGCACCCCACCGCCACGCGCGGCACGCGCGTCCGGCGGAACGTGAGCGTCTCGGTGGAGAAATCGCCGTAGGTAAACGAGCCGTCGCCGTAGGAGACCTGATACAAACAGGTCTGGTTCCCCGAATTGCAGCCCGGAGAGTCCAGCCGGCGGCAGAGCGGCGCGTCGCAGGGGATCCGGGAGTAGGAGCTGGATCTCCTCGGGTCGAAAACCGGATCCGCCTGGGAGTAGCACTTCTTGCACGGCGCGCACTGCAGCCAAACGACATCGCTTCCAGTGTCGAGCACCATGTACACATTCTTCGGCGGAGTCCCGACGCCGAGGCGCGTGAAGTACTCGCCGCTCCCCTGCGCGAGTCCGGAAATTACCGAGCTGCTGAATCCAGCTCCAGCTCCGCCGCGTCCTCCGGCAGCGGCGGAGACGGCGGATTGGATGCTCTCGACACGGGAGGCGTCGCGGAGCAGCCTGGAGCCGAAGAGCTCCTGCGGAGTTCTGTTGGAGGACAGAGCATCGACATGGTGGAGCTGTACACTGAAAATGGAGGAGGAGGAGGCGGCGGCGGCGGAGTCTGGAGATTCGAGATCTCCGACTGCAATTGAAGCTAGTGGCTGGGATTCGTCATCGGCGTCGGTCCAGGAGAGGGATTGGGGAGGGGAAGGGAGGCGATTGAGGATTAGGGTTTGAGATTTGGGGAGTAGGGCCGGGAGGGATGGAGTGAGGGAAAGGAAGAAGGTGAATGCAATCAAGAGGAAGGGGACAACGCTCGGTTTTCGATCCATGGGATGGGAGGGAAGCGGGAGTAGGGAGCGATAATTGCGCAGGGAGTGTATAAATAATGTGGGCGGAGGAGCGGTGGGATTTTGATAAATGAAGTCACGGGATTTTGTAGGGTGCGGGGAATGGGCTGACCAAATAAATCAAACCGAGTTGGTAGGGAATGAGAATTTTTGTGCCGCTGATTTCGGTTCGATTGACAATCAAGAAGGCTGGTGGTGGTGGCCAAAGAACAGAACCTTTCCTTGTCGAGTTCACACACCATCTAGCCATAATAAGACCAACAAGAAAAGAATGGTTCCATTTTGCATCTACATGTGCAAAGACTTATTTTTTCAAGATCAGGAGTGTGATGGGAATTGGATTCCTAACTTTGGAGGTCTTAATTTGTTTGGATGATATGGTCGTTTATTTGAATTTCGATGATTTCATTAGTTAGTACCTTAGTACATGATGCAAGACTAGCAATGATAGTTTCTTTTTTATGTAATGGCTGGCTGCTTGACAACTATTTCTCGCCTGTTTCGACAATGTCCCCCCTGCTTCTCAATGGTGTTTGTTGGAATTTATTTTTATAGCTCCTAACAAAAGAGGGCTAACCAGGTTGGTTACTAGGTTAAACCAAATATTTCATTAAATGGGAGATATAAAATCAAGGACAGTTATATAATCTTTACATTTATGACGGTTTCAAAAGTATCATGTACCATAGTCCTGAGTCGGTGAGTCCTGACTCTAATAAATGGAAAACTTCATGACCCTTATTTTCCAAATCGACTTTAGGGAACCTATTAATTGGGGGACCAAAGCTTTCCCCATTCCTCTAGTTAATTACTTAATTACCAAAATCAAAACCCTCAACTAATTATAAGAAGAAGATAAGGATTTCCTGGTCCATCACGGATTGGGCCACTCCAGCCCACAAAAATGGTGATCCATTAAATTTACCCCTAATCCGAAGCTAACGAGAAATCCCGAATAGCTCCATTAACTAAAACGGGCCGTTACCTTTCTTGGACTTCTCTGGGCCGCTCCGCTTACTATATTACAAATCGATAAGTTGGACAGCTCCAAAGTCCAAAAGTTTCGTGCAGTCCACGCCTCGCGGTCCTCTTCAACAATATCCCAAGATCCACCCCCGACGGAGATTGCAGGTAAAATCCCAATCCTTTTGATGTTATTTGATTATCAGATACGGAATGGTGAGCTTCAACGCTGTCGAAAGGGAATGCGTTGCTGCGTACCAGAGGGAGAAGCAGAACGTGATGAAGCTTATCGAAGGACTCCCTGGACGAGTTTCGCTTACAGTGGACACGCGAACTTCTCGTGAAGGCTTAGGCTGCTACGTGTTCATCACTGGCCACTTCATTGATGGTGATTGGAAGCCACAGCAGAGGAAGCTGAATGTGGTTCTGGTGCCCAATCCTGATTCAGAATCTGCCCTCGCCAACGCAGTGTTGCGCTGCCTTTCCAATTGGAACTTGGAAGGTAAACTGCTCTCTGTCACATTAGACCATCCCGCGGTGGGAGTAGCTGCTCTTCAAAGTCTTCAAGCACTGCTGTCTGTACAGAATGTACTGATTTTCGACGGCCAGTTGGTGCGCGACAGCTGCATCTCTCGCACCCTGACCAGCATTGCGAAGGAGTTGCTGTCAGCGTGTGGAGATCTCAGTGTCGAAAATCCGTGACAGTGTGAAGTACGTGCTGACCGAGGAGTCAAAGGAGTTGAAGTTTCTCGACATCAAACAGCAGCTGCAAAACGCGACGGACAGAATCACTGGAACACGACGTGCGAAATGCTCCTAGCTGCTTCGGAATTGAGAGAAGTGTTTTCGTGCTTGGAAGCTTTGGATCCTGACTACAAGGAAGCACCATCGATGCTGGAGTGGAAGCAAGTGGAAACAATTAGCTCAGTCCTGCAACTTCTGGTCGATGCAGCAAACCTTCTCTCGTCCTCCTCCTCGACCACCCCTGCTGCTCTAGCGTGCTTCCACGAAGCGTGGATGATTCAATCGAAGCTCTCTACGCTTGCTGCAATTGGCGATCCTTTCATCGACAGCTTCATCGGAGGATTGCAGGACAGGATCGAGAAGTACATCAAGGAATGCATCCTGGTTCTAGCAGCTGCAGTGGTGATGGACCCTCGGTTCAAGATGAAGCTGGTCGAGTTCAGCTTCGCGAAAATGTTCCTCCACGATGCTCCCACATATATCGAGATCGTGGACGATGGGATTCGCCAGCTGTTCTGGGAGTACAAGGTGCTGCATCAGCTAGACGAAGAAAAAGCAGACCCCAAACTGGGGATTAATGTAGACATTATGGAGCCCAGGAGGTATCCGGTGAAGTCGGAGCTGGATGTGTACTTGGACGAAACATTGGTCCCGCGAGTGGCGGATTTCGATGTGTTGGGATGGTGGAAGCAGAACGAGGTGAGGTTTCCTGCTCTGGCGAAGATGGCTCGGGATGTGCTGTGCATTCAGGTGTCTGCTGCCTCGGCGGAGAGCTTGTTTGACACACGGTGCTTGCCGAAGGAGATGGAGTACGGGAGCTCGGTGAAGCCGGAGACGGTCGAGGCGCTCGTGTGTGCGAAAGATTGGCTTCGTCGTGCTGCGGCGGCGGCGGCAGCGGGTGGTGATAGGTGATGGGGAAGAGTGATTGAGTTGTGAAGATGGAGCTTAGGTTTGATTGGAGCGTGGAGAGTATGTTGTTGAGGAACCATTCATTGCTCGTTTTTTTTTTTTTTTCATTGTTTTGTTTTTGTGATATATTTGACTATATTTTGGATTATATTATTTGCATCAATTTTGGGAATTATATTTGGAATAACATTGATGTGGTTGACATTGATTAATATCATGGTCGTGCATTTCAATAATCAAGTTTTAAATTGCTAATCAAAAGGTAATATAGCATAGCAGAACTTCTTATAATCAGTGTGCATCTCTATTCTCAAATACGGAAACTTTCAGCAAAAAAAAATCTCAAATAGAGAGAATTGAGATGCCTAGTTCTCGCAAATATCTAAAATGGCCAATAAAAAAGTAATTGAGTAAAACTTCTCATACTTAACAGAACAGGGCAGAGCATTAGATTACTGTAGCACGCGGGGAGGATCGAAGCAAGCAGAGTGGAGTTGCAAATAGATTTGTAGGTGGTGGTGGCGGCATTGCCTAAGGGGCAGTGTTGGGTCAAGCATTGAGACACACGGCCCAAGGTCACTAAAAGCCCACAAGTAAATAGATTGGGCCCAAACAGGGCCAGAAATACACCGAATTCCCACCAGAGGCGGTACGTCCAAGGTCTAGGCGAGACCGCCCGACATAATGGTCTAACAGACTTCTGACTCCATCGGTACGGAGACTCACTGACAAAAGTACGATTTGACTATGCATTTAATAGAACCAGAGGCGTCCCTGAACGCCCGACAAACCATTAAATGCGCCCAGCTGAAACTAGTATAAATACCCCTCAATGGACTACATTTAAGGTAACTTCCAACCACTACGTTCTCTCTCTATTTCGTATTCTACTTACTTCTCTCACTAACTTTGGCACAAGAGGAGGTCCTAGGATTCCCCTGAGTACCTTTTCTGCAGGATTTGCGAGATCGCCCCAGACGATCAAAGCCTACACGAAGCCAGTGAAGCCTCACAAACCGCCTGGTACTAATCAGGCTCAAACAGGCAGATCGAGGCGCAACACAGATATAAACCAATTATCCATCAAATCAAGTTGTTGATGGGCAAATTTCAGGAATGTAGTGTTCGACATGTTTACGGAGTGCAAATTTGTGTAGTCGATTATTTGACAAATTGGGGCCATAAAGTTCGGATTGATAACTCCGTAACTGACATGGAGGAATCGAAAATGTATATTGGTTAATGTGTGATGTTGTCGGGGTCACTCGAGCTCGCATGATTAATAATAGGGGTTAGGTTGCCCATTCACATCGGTTTTTTCACCCAAAAAAATCATTGTAGTAAAGTCAAGAAAAACTACATGTTATCTAATCTCCATTCAATTTAAAAATTATATTTATTGAGGAATAAAAGTTTCCTCATTAATATCCTGTAAACAAAAGAAAAGTTTACTCATTAATACTGCATAATATTACTAAAATCCCCAATTAATAAGAACGATAAATACAGTTTTAAGGAAAATAGGACTTCCTTAATAGTTTGCCTACGTGTTTGTAATAATCATTACCCTTTAACCCATAACGAACCAACCACCCGAAAAGCCGGTCCACGAACCAAAATGACGCCGTTACACCGTCGTTTGGGCTTCCGTGGTCCGGTTACAGTTTCCTCCTCCTAATTGAGAACACCTCCTTCTCCGCTCCGTTTAAGTAGAGAAAGAGATAAGTTGGACCGCTCCAAAGTCCAAAAATCAAAAAAAGAATTTTTATCCGCTGCGTGTGCCCACCAAAAAAACCCGAAATCGCTCCCCTTTTATTATCTTCCCTGGTCCAATAAGCCGCTCGCCCCAAGCCCAAAATCCCTCTCTCCTCTCTCGCTCCACCGTCGGTCTCGTCCCTCTCTCTCGCTCCGCCCGCGGGCCTCTGCAGCATAAACCCTAGATCCATCCACCGACAGAGATCGCCGGAGCTCGGCCTCCGACCTTCGCTCCTCCCCTCTTACCTTAACCGACATCGCCTGCTTTTCCTCCTCGTCGCTTCCTCTCTCACCGTTGGTAAATCCCTAACCCTAATTTTTTCTCGTTTTTTCTCCCCGTCTTCTCGCGCTTCCCGTTTCTATGTGTTTGCTGTACCTTCAATTGATTGTTGTGGACTTGTTGTGTCGTAGTTTTTTCGCGCTCGTTGAATTTCTTCGATGGGATTGTTGCGCGAAAGCTCTCTGATCCGGGAGGGAGGAGAACTGAGTGATTTTTGCGTTTTGCCATTCTCCGGGGAGTCGTGTTGGCTTCCATCTTGGTTGTGGTTATCGGCCTTTTCAAATTGATTTGGGGATTGGGATATTTTTTGGGGTTTTTTTGCCCTCGTCGTCCGCCTAGTTGCTTCTCGGGGATTTGTTTTTTTTTTGTTTTCGGCGTCGGGAGGCGGGAGGGCGGTGGGTGATGAAGTTCCCGCTTCTGAATTCTCGACGAATATATGGTGTTGTAGTTCCTCTATTCACCGAGTTGGGTCGATGGCTCGATTGCTAAAAATTCATCAGTTATGGGCCTACCTGATAGGACATGGTTCATAGACATAACATTCCAAAGGCCCATCTTTTGAGTAAACCGTGGTACCTGCTGTCCAGGTTTATTGCATAAAGTCTATTGCTTTCTGTTTGTAGTTGTTCTCTTCTACTCTGCTCTCCACTCTTATACAGGCCGAAGTAGTACCATCATGTACTATTCCTTCCTTGGATGATGGATGCATCAGAAGATTACTTTTTCTGGGTTGTTCATCATGTGTTCTACTAAGGTTGCTGAACTTTCTCTGGGTTTTTTTCTTCCTTTTATTGGTTGGCAGTGAAATTGGCTTTGGAGAAAAGATGGAAATCCCTGAAGAGAAGTATCAGCTGACACCCGTGGAGAATAATGCGAAGCCAGCAAGGCGAAGGAAGACAAAGTCCCATGTCTGGAAATACTTCACAGTCGAGAGCATCAGCCCTGAATGCAAAAGGGCATTCTGCAACACCTGCAGGAAGAGCTTCGCTTACAGCATGGTACAGGAGAATGGCGGCTCGAAGGTAGCCGGTACTAGCCACCTCAAGCGTCATCTCGAGAAGGGAACCTGTGGAGCTACCGCAGGGCTCGATAACAATATCGAAGGCGATGATCACCAGGCGACTCCTTATACGCCTTCAACCAGGACTCGGGCCACTGCCAATAAGAATGCGTCTGGTGCAAGTACAGGGGTCAGCGAGTCGAGAAAGCGTCGCTACAGATCCCCCAGCTCTGCCTACCTGGCGGTGTTCAATCCTGACGTCTGCCGCCAGGACATTGCTCGAATGATCATCATGCACGATTACCCTCTTGACATGGTCGAGCATCCTGGGTTTCAAAGTTTCGTCCAGAGCCTTCAGCCACAGTTTGGTGCAGTCAGCATCGACACCATCCAAGGGGAATGCGTCTCATCTTACTTGAGTGAGAAACAAAAGGTTATGAGGTTGATCGATGCGATGCCAGGACGAGTCTGCCTTTCTCTTGACATGCGCATGTCGAGAAACAGCTTGGCTTACGTGTTCATAACAGGCCACTTCACCGACAGCAATTGGAAGACCCAGAAGTGGATTCTCAATGTTGTCCTAGAACCATATCCCGATTCACATAATGCTCTCAGCCATGCCGTTGCTTGTTGTCTCTCTGACTGGAGATTGGAAAGCAAGCTGCTTTCCCTCACATTGAACCATCCTGTGCCTGAAGCCGGGCTCGAGAATCTCAGGTCTCATCTCTGCGTCAAGAATCCACTCATCCTGAAGGGTCAGCTCTTGCTCGGGCAATGCATCTCACATACTTTCACCGCCATGGTCAACGACATACTGTCTGCAGGAGGTGACATCATTAAGAAGATCCGTGACAACATAAAGTACGTCACGACTTTGGAGAACCACGGGGAGAAGTTCTTGCATCTCAAAGAACAGCTTCAGGTCCCGAGCGAGGTACATTTGTTCCTTGACGACAAGAGTCAGTGGAATACGACTTATCAAATGCTGGTATCTGCTTCGGAACTACAAGAAGTCTTCTCTTGCTTGGACACTGTTATTCCTGAATACAAAGAAGCTCCAACCATGGAAGATTGGAAGCAGGTTGAGAGCTTATGCACGCACTTGAGGTCACTCTTCGATGCAATGAACTTGCTCGTCTCTTCCCCTTCCCCTCCTGCAATCACACTATTCCAGGAGGGGTTTAGGATCCAGACTACGATCGCTTGTGCAGCAACTGGTGATCCGTTCATTGGCAGCTTCATCAAATCGATGCAGGAGAAGATAGACAAGTACTGGAAGGAGTGTGGCTTAATTCTTGCAATTTCTGTAGTCATGGATCCTCGTTTCAAAATGAAGCTCGTCGAATTCAGCTTCTCCAAACTCTTTGGTGAGGAGTCTCCTCTCTACGTTAAGATGGTAGATGACGGGCTCCACGAGCTGTTCGAGGAATACGTATCACTTCCTCTACCACCATCACCAGCTTACGGTGGCGATCATGGAAACATCGATCGAGCAGAGGAACACAACCAGGGAGGGAATATTTCAGAATACGGGTTGGCTGATTTCGATATGTACATCATGGAAAACACCACCCAGCAGTTCAAGTCGGAGATAGACCAGTATCTGGACGAGAACCTCGAGGGTCGGGGCTCCAATTTGGACGTGCTGGAATGGTGGAAACAGAAGAGGTCGAAGTACCCGACGATGTCGAAGATGGCGAGGGATATCTTGAGCATTCCCGTGTCGACTACCTTGCCCGAATCGATGTTCAGTACCAAGCCAAGGGAGCTGAGCCCGAATGCTAGGTCCGAGACTCTTGAGCCGTTTGTGTGTACTAAGGACTGGTTGCAGCATGGGTTGACTGAAGATTTCGGTGGATTAGAAAGTTTGGTGGTTTCGGATCTTTCGAACCCTGCCTTGAAAGTTGAGTTCTAGGACTAGGATATTGTTCTATGGTTTGTATCAAATTTTTACAGGGCCTGGTATTGGGTAGGGGGGTGTTTATTTGATTTCATTTGGCATTTTGTTCTAGTTACTTTTAGTTGGAGGGTTTATAGTTATTATTTCACGATCGGTTAGGCTAACTGTTTTCTTTTCGTTCTTTTGTACCATTAGAATCATGGAAAGAAGGAAGTTGATGGATTTGTTTGGACGATGTTGCCTGAATATGAATACTAGTTCATGCTGCATTCATTATCTTCCAACAGAATTGTTAAGGACTGTAGAGTCAGAGCCCTAAAGAAGCAAATACATGAAAACGCCGAATAAACGAAAACCCAGATTGGAGAACTGAAGTAGGATTCAAAGTGTTCTATCTGATATTTTGTGTTTGTTACATGAGGGGGAAGACTAATCAACACGCATTTGAGACTTGTTCAGTTACATAAGTTAGACTTTAGAGCATATGGGATAAGAAAAATGGTGCATGCGAACATGATCTTGAAAACGTGACGAAAGAAGCAGTCGAAAACTGACCAATTTCCTCTTGCTTGCTATGATCTTTCCCTTTGATTGTTCTCCAGATGATACTGGTATAAGTTTCTCTACATTACATTCTCACCACCTCTCTGATTTCCAGTATCTTTCTACTTTTGCTCCAAAATCAGAAAGGGTCATTGCAAGAGTGAAGAGGAACTGTTCCAGGGACGAAATGTATTCTAAACAATAATAGGCATAATAGAGCGTAGCTTGTCATCGTGGAGTTGCAATTTATGATTAGCTTGTTGGAGATGGTCAGCATACTTCAGAAAGAAGATATGTCCCGGCTCTCATTTTTCAGTGCTGGATTTTCTCTTGATGTCTTTCTTCATTATAAGAACCTACATCGCAGATATAAAGAAATCAAGGATTGAATGTAATCATCCTTTCATAAGAAAGAAACCCGCACATAAGCAGACAGAATTTGTCTGACAGATAGACACCAAAGAACCACAGCGGAAACATATGAATTGCACCTTTCTGCGGTGTGCAGGATGAATCTTGTTCTGCATGCAGTTTTCTACTATCTTCCTCACTTGCTCTGAAGTCTTTAAATGAACCCATAGCAGTAATAGATAATAGAGTTGTGCTGGTTGGGAGGGAACTCTTGTGAACGCCGATACAGGAACTAGATTATAACATCCGTCAATATTTCAAGAACCTGAAAAGAATTATAATTGAAGTTAATTTTGATTCTTTTCACAGGTTTCAGTGTAAACTGTAAAGTGTTTCTACATTACTACAAAGCATGGACATGCCTGATAATTAGTTTGACAAGGTTGTGCAGTTTTTAGTGACATCTATAACTAGTGCCATTTTTGTTTTTGTGAAAACTCATGCCACTAGTTTCTTTTTTGGGGTAGAATCATGCCACTAGATCACATATCAGTCAGGCACTATATTAATTGATAACCTCAACTATTTTTGTCAATACTCACCTCGTTACCCGACGTGATGGAGCACTCTTGGATACCATCCATTGCGTTTTCTTTTCCTAGCAAAGCTGTTCCAGAGACGGTTTTCTCCATGAACTGTGGTGAAGCTGTCATTCACTGAATTTAACTTAACTTCAGTTCCCGATAGTTATCCAACTCTGTCCTGAGGGCTTAACCGACCCTCGGCCTTCCATTTCCTTTCTCACCTTTACAGCATCGTCCCATCTTCCAGCCTCTGCGTATATACTATACAAAGCCACATAATGTCCTGCGCGTCCAGGTTCCAGTTGGATTAACTTTTCAGCAGCAAGCTTTCCAACCTCTACATTCTGCTGGTCAAGGCAGGCTGTCAGTAAGGCCCCCCAAACAGACTTATCAGGCTCCAGGGGCATTTGATGAATGAAATTGATTGGAGCTTCTAGCCTACCGACACGTGCTAGCATGTTGACAACACAGGAGTAATGTTCCATCGTGGGGACAAATCCATATTCTCCGGTCATGCTCTCGAAGAGTTCAATGCCCTCTTCTACAAGGCCTGAATGATGACAGGCTGATAGCACCGAAGTAAATGTGAGAGCATCAGCATGAACTCCAACCCGCTTCATGTCCTGAGAAGATTCAAAGCAGCCTGTGCAAGCCCATGCATGCCAAATCCTCTGATCATTGCGTTCCATGTTACTAAATCTCGGGTTTTCGCTGTTGTAAACACTGAGTATGCGGCCTCAATTTTCCCACACATGGAATACATGTGTATGACTGAATTCCAAACTGCAACACTCGTATGGAAATAGTGTTTCGTGGCGTAGGCATGAATTTGCTTTCCATGCTTCAAATCACAAACTGGTAAAACAGTAGATATGGTTGTCTGATCATTCCGGATATATGATCTTTGCATCTCACCAAAGCATTCGAGTGCTAAATCCCTTGACTCAGATTCTACAAAAGCCAGAATCATTGTGTTCCAGGCAACAACATGTGATCTGTCCATTAGTGCAAACACAGTTCTAGCATAATGAAAAGAGTCACATCTAGCATACATTGTCATTAAATCCGGACCAGCTGATCTGTAAAATCTCCCACCAGGTTGTTGAGTTTTGATTCCATAACCATGGATGGCCTTCCCACACATTAAAGCAGGCAGATGGCGACACGAAACAAGGATAAGTGAAAGGGAATCTACATCAGGAAAAATCCCTCCTCCATTCACCATGTCTTTGAAAATTATCAAACATGTAGCATACTTGCCAGCTCGAGAATAACCAGATATTAGAGTGGTCCATGAAATTATATCAGGAGCTTCAATCTGTTCAAAAACTTTTGAAGCTTCATCACACAGCCCCATCCGAAAATAAGCATCCATCAACATGTTAAATGTAATTACGTCAGGCTTAATACCCTCCAATTTCAGACCACCAAAGAGCTGCAAAGCTGAATCTAGCAACCCATTACCAATGAACCCAGAAATCATTGAATTCCAAGTAAACAAATCTCTTTCTGCCATCTCTTCAAAAACCAACCTCCCACTCAACACATTTCCACACTTCGCATACATGTCGATCAAAGCATTGCACACATGAAAGTTTCGCTCGTGATCTTAAACAACCACACCTCCATGGACCCACATCCCTCCATCCAACCATGTCAACTGAGCACAGGCTTTCATAACTTCTGGGAACACCAAGTGATCCTCAGAGACTCCTTGAGACTTCATCAACCCATAGTTCTCCAAACAGTCCTCGTACATCCCATTCCTTGAGAAGAACCCGAGAATAGCTGTCCAGGCAAACACATTTGGCTTCGGAAATACATCAAACAGCTTCCTCGAAGAATCCAGATCATCGCAATCCGCATACAATTGGATCAGCTTAGTTACCACGAATTGGATACCACTAGACCCTGATGCAATGACATGCTGATGAATTTGTTGGCCTTGGTTCAGAGATTTGGAATTGCTGCACAACTGAAGCAAGTGGATGAGTTTGGAAACAGCGGGAGCTCTCTCTCAACTTCAACAGAGACAAAGATTGTTCGCCTTTCGCCATAAGCTCATTTTCGTTGAGTTTGTCTAGAAAAGTTGGATGCTTTGATAGGGATCAATCAAAGAAATCGAGCACCAGTTAACAGCTGCTATACTTCCCGAATCAACTAGACAATTTGGTGCTTCCATCTTAACTTAATGGTCGCATGATTCTTTACCTTCATAGATGAATTGCAGGAAAGGGGATAACTTGACAATCATGTGAAGGAGATTACGAATGTTTTCTTTCCCTCAGTTTGTTGAGAAGGAACGCATAATGTTTGACAATATTCAGAGCTTGAAGTTAACCACCATCAAAAGGGAATTGGGAACTAGAAAATTTACCAGGTTGAGTGAGCTCGCAAGCAATGGCAGGTTCCTTCGGGGGAGTTTTTCACCATTGTCCATGCATCCTTCAAGTGTGTTTTTCCGCAAGACGGGTGATAAGATACCTCCGATGGCCACCTGGGTTTTTCTGGCAGATCAATAGCGACATGGTTTGTCCGCTGTTGGCGGTCGAGGGAACGCCGGCGGTACGGAAGGGAGAACGGCTGCCATCTCTTTCTAAAACTGCAGGTACTATTTCGAAGTGCTAAGCCAGTAGCTAGTGTGGACTCCAATGGGGCCCAAGTCATTAACTCGGGATTTCTTTTAAACGTAAAATCAACTTCATTCCAATTGTATACATATTTTTTTTTTCTTACGAGGAGGCGGGAAACGCCAAGTTATAACAGTCTAAAACGAGGCTTGAAACCGAACAAACAGAAGATCAAAGTGGCCAAAAGAGAGGATCAAGAACTCTTGTCAAGCCTCACTTGTCTAGGGAAGCTGACCCCTAAAACATCTTCACGACAAATTCTGTCTAAGTCCAGTGGGGGATCTTCTAGTTCATGCGTACCAAAGGGATAGACGAGACTGTACTTCGAGAGTCAGTCTGCGACTCTATTCCCTTCCCGGTACGTATGAACTAGCCGAACCACCCACTCCTTGGTCAACATCCTCCGAATCGCTCCCAAAATCGTTGCGTAGGGATAAACACTGTCTTGCCTTTTTCGATTAGCTGAATAGCTAGCTGAGGATCAGTTTCCAACACAAGAAAGCGGGATCCCTTCTTCCAAGCAAGTTCTAGGCCTTCATGAACACCCCAAGCAACTTCATTCCAATCGTATACATAATAGGAATCACAAATCTAAACTATTGATCTAGGTATTGATTCAATTAATCAGGAGAGTTGATATCTAACTAAAGATTTAGCAATCTTCTTGCATTTCGATTATGTGGACTTCTCTGACTTTGATATGTGGGTTTAATATGAGAGTAGACTTCATCATACCAATCCATGCAGCACAGAAGGATCCTCCAGCAAGGCTTAGGTGAGAAGTTGACAATCCATTTGGACTATACATTAGGAACCATATCCCCGAGCTAATTTAAGGCTTTCAATTGATCGTTTGCTTCAACTTTAATCGAGGATTAACAAAATAGAGTATCACTGCACCTGTCACAGACTTGTCAATGATTGTTAATTACCACAACACCATAAGTTGTCGGCTTGGACTCAACGACCAACCATAATGAAACAACAAAGAAGGATTATTGTTTGGTGGTGGAGAAGTTTGTGAACAATATACCCCTGGGCTGAGTAAACTGAGAAGGGAGAGAGGCGAGACTTCTTAGAGATGACATATAGCCCCAGGGGGGAGCAAAGAGACAGTCGAAGAAAGACTCATTTGTGTGATAGCAATTGGAATAAGAGTCTTGTTAAGAGAGCATTTGTGGTCATGTAAGTTTGATTTTGTGACAAACCTATTCTTTGCGCATCTCCAAATGAAAAATTTAAGTTTGGGCGGAAGACGCAAGCTCCAAAATCACTTCCAATCCTCCTCATTACCTGTAGGAAACATTCTCGCATTGACCTAGTGCATTGCATGGTAAGTTGCCCGAACAGTGTACCTTTCCTCACTTGTGAATTTTCAGGCTCGAATTCGAATCTTCCTTTTTAATACGTATTATCTGAAAGCTTCTGGTTTACCTAGGGTGAATTGTGCCCCTCTATGATATCATATTTTTACATCCAACCTTCCTCACAAATCAAACTTCTGACTTTTATGTGCTCTTGCAGTCAGTATCATTTCAGAAAGAAAGGAACCTAAAGGTCCTTATCAACCAGTCAGTGGAGGAGCTAGGTTGAATCTAGGAGGGGCTATACCTCCCTAAAATTAGAAATGTAGGTAAAATTACTTGTAAAATTTGTAACAAATTCAGGAGTTAGGGTAGTCGCTAAGACCTTACCCCCTCCCCGAGTTGTCACAGTTCAAGTTAGCCCCCTCATTCAGATTCCTGGCTCCGCCACTCCAGGTATCTTCGCGTCGATCAATAACTATAATTGTTCCCATCTCTATAACTTTCACTATGTCACAATGGCTAGCCCATATCCTTTACGACTTGTAATTGTTCCATAATCATTAATGACTTATAATATTCTCATAGTAATTTGTAGGTTTGCTCTCCCAAATCGATAATCAAATCCATACTTCTCTATAAGAGTTTCCAAACAATCCTAATCCATCAAATCATAAGTTGTTCTCATCCAACTTGAGCATCATGTCCCTCCTCCTTTCATGGTTAAGGTTTTCTAATTGATGGAGAACTTTATGAACGATAAAGATAATGTTTTGGATGATTTGGCCCCCGCAAATGCAGGTTGCACTTCAGAGACAATAGAAGGGGTTCACTTCTTCTACCGAGTATCTAAGATCTTGGATGTAGCTTTATATATAAAATTGTAGTAGCAGATATGGCAAATTTGGCTGATTTGATCAAAGTGGTCTATCTCGGGGACCAAAGAGATTGCCTATCATTCCATATTCCAAACATGTTCTCTATTTGAAAAGATCATTATCTCTCAACATAATGTATATCCCAATGTCCCATAGAAATGCATAGAGAAGCGACCCGAGAATCCATTATGACTCGATGCCTTCTTAGCCCCTGGACTAAACACTGTTTTTATTATTTCCTCATTGATAAACAAAGCATAAAGGTCTTATTGACCTTCCTAAAAACATTATTAGTAAAGCCTTGCATAAGGTGAGAGAAAGAAACTGAAGCCCTAACCTTGAATAACACTTTGAAAAATTTAGCAAATTGACTCTTCCAACTAGCTTCATCTTCTACCCAATTGTCAGCCTTGTCCTTAAGTCCAATGGTTATATTAGTATGTTTAACATAGATAGTGCTAGAGTGAATGAAGGAAGAATTTTGCCCACCTGTTTGCAGCCATTTCACTTTTGAACATTGACTCATTCTCGAGCGATAAATTAGACAATGACACAAAAATAATCTCCTTAAGCATTTCCATGTTGATTTGAGCGTTGGATGGGAAATCCATGAGCAACATTTGAGATTTTGCCTTGCTTTGTAGGTTTTCGATGCACATGTTGAGTTGACGCCTAAGCTACCTCATCTTAATTGTTGATTCCTCTTATCAGGGTTGGATTTTCATGTACAATCACACTATTCTCTCTACAACTAGAAGCCCTCCAAAAGTATGTCAGGTCAGGTACATAAATGAAGAGATTATTATTTTTAATTAGATTTTATCAAGACAATACAATCCGTAATGAACTACGAAAATCACTGTGAAAATGTAAGACAATAGGATATGTTCGGAATATTGGTAAACTACTTTGTTAACGTTCGAACTTGGGTTCGATCTAAAAGAAGTGACGTCATGATCCGATGAGATCACCAATCAAGGTCGGACCATGACTCAAGTTATCCGGAAAGAAAAGGAGCAACTGAGAAAAAGAGAAGAAAAGAAAAACGGATAAATAAAATAAAAACAAACTGAACCGTAAGATTTCAAAACCCTAAATCCTGAGCTTAGGTTAGAGCTCTTCCTCGTCCAGGTCATACACCGCCGAAAAGAGGGCGAAGCCTCTCTATCTCTTGTTCTACGGTAAGTCTCACGGTTCACCATTGTCTTCTTCGTGCGGCTTCTCTTGATAACTCGATCTGATTTCTTGCACTGAATTTTTTTCTTTCTGAACGTCGCTTCCCCGCCGATTGTGCCAGTTATTCCTTTGCTGCTGCTTGAATTGAACGACAAAAAATGGCTTCCAAGTTCTGGACACAGGTTCGTCGCTCTCACCGATCTTTTCTCACTCTACAATTTTCCCCCATTCCGTCCCCAATCTGATTCGTGCTATGGTTGTTGTTGTTCGTAGGCCGGTGCTTCTGATTCCGATGAGGAAGAGGAGCAGAGCGAGTACGAAGACGAAATCGAAGACGGAGCCGGCGGTGGAGATCCCTCGGCCGCCGACGCGAAGAATAGGTATCTGAGGGCAACCGACACGGATAGTGACGACTCCGATGGCCAGAAGCGTGTGGTTAGGTCGGCCAAGGACAAACGGTTCGACGAAATGGCGTCTACTCTCGAGCAGATAAAAAATGCGATGAAGATTAACGATTGGGTGAGCTTGCTGGAGAGTTTCGATAAAATTAACAAGCAGCTGGAGAAAGTCATGCGGGTGACTGAAGCTGTCAAGGTTCCGAGCCTATACATTAAGGCACTGGTGATGCTGGAGGATTTCCTGAACCAGGCCATGGCTAATAAAGAGGCCAAGAAAAAGATGAGCAGCAGTAATGCGAAGGCGCTGAACTCGATGAAGCAGAAACTGAAGAAGAACAACAAGCAGTATGAGGATATGATTACCAAGTATAGGGAGAAGCCTGAGAGCGAGGAGGAGGCTGATGAGGATGACGAAGATGACGACGACGATGGGTCAGACACTTTTGCTGAGGATGTTAACGCCATGTCGGACGAGGATGAAGAGGAAGATGATGGGAAGGACGATGAGGAAGTTGAGGGCGAGGGTGGTTGGGAGAAGATGTTGAGCAAGAAGGAGAAGCTCATGGATAAGCAGTTCGCCAAAGACCCTAGTGAAATTACTTGGGATGTGGTGAACAAAAAGTTCAAAGAAGTTGTTGCAGCTCGTGGTAGGAAAGGCACCGGGAGGTTCGAGCAGGTTGAGCAGTTAAGTTTCTTGACTAAGGTTGCCAAGACCCCTGCCCAGAAACTTGAGATTCTCTTCAGTGTGGTGTCTGCTCAGTTTGATGTAAATCCAGGGCTAAACGGTTACATGCCTATAAATGTGTGGAAAAAATGTGTGCAGAATATGTTGGTTATCCTCGATATTGTTTTCCAGCATAGAAATATAGTTGTGGATGATAAGGTTGAGCCGGAAGAGAATGAAACGCAGAAGGGAGCAGACCACGAGAGTACTATTCGTGTTTGGGGAAACTTGGTCGCCTTCCTTGAGAGAATTGACGTGGAGTTCTTCAAGAGCTTGCAGAGCATTGACCCTCATACCCATGAGTATGTTGATAGGCTGCAAGATGAGCTTATGTTTTTGGTTCTTGCTGAAAACGTTCAGGAATATCTTGAGCGAGCTGGCGACTATAAAGCAGCATCAAAGGTTGCTTTGAGGCGGGAGGAACTGGTGTACTACAAGCCACCAGAAGTTTTTGACGCTATGAGGAAGCTGTCTGAACAAAGTGAAGGCGGGGAAACTGGTGAGGAAAAGGCAGAAGAGAGTAGAGGACCACCTGCATTTGTTGTTGTTCCTGAGGTGGTGCCTCGGAAGCCCACTTTCCCTGAGAATAGTAGAACAATGATGGACATGTTGGTGTCTCTCATATACAAATATGGTGATGACAGGACAAAAGCTCGAGCGATGCTTTGTGATATCTATCACCATGCTCTCCTGGATGAGTTTTCCAATGCTCGTGATCTGTTGTTGATGAGTCACTTGCAGGATAACATTCAGCATTTGGACATTTCTACTCAGATCCTGTTCAACAGGGCCATGGCACAGCTTGGTTTATGTGCATTTAGGGTTGGGCTAATCACTGAAGCTCATGGTTGCCTCTCTGAACTATATTCTGGTGGAAGGGTAAAGGAGTTGCTCGCCCAAGGTGTGTCCCAAAGTCGATATCACGAGAAGACCCCAGAACAGGTACTTGAGTATTTTGTGTTTCATGTCCCTGAAATGAGAATCTCGCGTGTAGTCTCTTACTGATTCATTATACATGGTGTGTTCTTGCTGAAGCATGATGTGTTCAGCAGTATATATACAATAATATAAGGAAATGAGTGCAGCATTGCCTATTTATTGAGATAATCCGAACAGCTTGACATTTATCAGGAACACTATTGCTCTTGTGTATGTGGAAACTAAATAGACTGGCTTTGTTGAAGCCCAAGTGTCCTACCTAGTAGTTAAAGAGGATGGAAATGGTAGGTTCATTTGCTCATAAAAGTCGAAAACTGAATGAAATGTCTATTGCTTTTCTGTGTGGTAGCTCAGTAATGTAGTATAGGGGATTTTCCATGTTGGATCTGTCGGTGAACTGAATGCACCAACTGATGTAAGTCGCAAAATATAATTGGGTGGCAAGGCCAGCTTTTCTTGTCTATTGCGATGGTTATTGACCAATATATAACAGTATCCTACTCTGGATTGAAAAAGCCAGCTTTGGAATATCTTCGTTTACTTGTTCTTTTACTGCTTTCTGATCATGGTTATAATGTCCTCGACTGATTCTTATTGTTGCGAACCAATTATATACTAACAGGAGAGGTTGGAAAGGAGACGCCAGATGCCATACCACATGCACATCAACCTCGAACTTCTGGAAGCCGTCCACCTCATCTGCGCCATGCTCCTCGAGGTCCCCAACATGGCAGCCAACACTCACGACTCCAGGCGCCGACTCATCAGCAAGACATTCAGGCGTCTTCTCGAGATCAGTGAGAGGCAGACTTTCACTGCCCCTCCCGAGAATGTTCGCGACCACGTGATGGCCGCAACTCGAGCCCTCACGAAGGGAGACTTCGTCAAATCGATTGAGGTGATCGAGTCCCTCGACATCTGGCGCCTCCTTAAGAACAAAGAGGCCGTCCTCGGAATGCTCAAGTCCAAAATCAAGGAGGAAGCTCTCAGAACCTATCTCCTGACCTACTCCTTGTCCTACAACTCGATGAGCTTGGAGCAGCTGATGACCATGTTCGACTTGTCGAGGGCCCAGACCCACAGCGTGGTGAGCAAGATGATGATCAACGAGGAGCTGTACGCAAGCTGGGACCAGCCGACGGAGTGCGTTGTGTTCCACGACGTCGAGTACTCGAGGCTGCAGGGTCTGTCGTTCCAGCTGACCGAGAAGCTGTCGGTGCTCGCGGAGAGCAACGAGAGGGCCATGGAGTCTGGTGGTGGCGGCGGGATGGAGCTACCGATGCGGAGAAGGGACGGGCAGGACTATGCCAATGCTGCTGCCGGCGGGGGCAAGTGGCAGGATAACTACAATCAGCAGGGAGGAAGACAAGGTGGCGGTGGCCGTTCTGGAGGGTATGGTGGCGGCGGGAGATCTGGTCAAGGTGGTGGTAGAGGCAGCGGGTATAACAGAGGGAGCCAGGTACGAGGAGGCGGCGGCTCTCGTTATCAGGATTCGTCGGCGTATGGAGGTGGCGGCGGATCACGGAGGACGGCTAGTTCAGCCGTGAGGGGCTCTCCGATGGATGGTTCTACCCGAATGGTCAGTCTGAATCGCGGAGTTCACGCTTAAACGAATCGAGCCAAGCCTATCAAATTTTTCTTCCCCTCAGGTGAGAACTAAGTTTTGCGATTTGAGTTTTGGGCTGCAGCCCTACTGTGTTTCCCGTTGAGGTAAACTTGAAATCAGGTAGCAGCGCAGGAGGCATTTACCCCCTCTTTCCTTGGAGAATAATTTAAATTTGTTAGATTCTTGAACTGTTCTTAGAACTTGTTGTCTCTTTTTGGTTGTAAGGTACACATTTTTTAATGGACATGGAAGTATGGGAACTGGTAATTTGGTTTTCAGATGGTGGGATGTTGTTTGTGGGTTCGTTTCTCTTTTTCTGTTGGTTTGTGTGTGTGAATGGTGTTCTGCCAAATTTGGAGCTTACGAGCGATGGTGCTAGGCGCGAGCTAGAGCTTCAAGGTGTTGAACCTGGAGGTCTTAGTTTCGCGTATATTAATTTTAAGTAGGCATAGAAGTCAGATAAAGATGGCTACATTGTCACCGGTACAAGGTGTTGACAATGGATTTGGGAGGAGACTGTTGATAGTATCAAAATCTGGCTATATGCATGTCAATAGGTATAGTGGAAACAAACGTCAGTATCCTTTGATAACACTTTTACTAAATAGATGCTCTGTTGAGAGTAGCGAGGACGAGCGAGAATCGAAACTCTGTTGGAGTGTACTAGTTAGGATGAGTTCTTGAGAAATGAGTGATCGCAAGTTCGAATTAAGTAGGTATTAGATAGGTTAATTAAGTAGGTATTAGATAGGTTGAGTTCTTGAAAGATGAATGACCACAATCTTAAAGTGCGTAAATGCATTTTATCTAAAATTGAATGTTTTCGATCGAATACATGATATACAAACTATTTCGTCATCATTCACGTTTATTTCCTAATGGGAAATCTAGTTGAAATTAGGGTCATTCACGTTTATTTCCTAATGGGAAACCTAGCTGAATTTGGGGCCAAACCCACTTTAATTAAACTTTTCCTAATAAAGTTGGTTTCGATGGAAGGATGAATGGATCACATTGACATTCCTAATCATATCCAAGATGGCAGCTTCTATCTAATATCTCAGTCCACTAAAATCATTAGCTCCTTCGTGATGTGGTTAGGACTTAGGACATCTTTGTACATGTTAAATGTTAATCTCAGATTAAGGCCGACTCCAATGCAACCCCTATAAATAGGGGAGTCACCATTAACGGCGTTTTTGCGAGCTCCAACTCGGAGCCAAAATTGGCGAAGGATGCCATTTATGAGGAAGGTCGACAATTGGGTCGCCAGTTTTGGGGAGGGAATGCCGAACTCGGCATTGATGGGGAGTAAGAGTAGCGCTGGCGGTTGTTCCGACTAAGGATGGCAACTTTGCCCATACCCATGGGTTTCTTACGGTCCAATCCAATTGGGTTGGGTATGAAATCCAAATAGATGGATATGGGTAGAGTTTGATGGGTTTGTACCCATACCTATTTACTTTGGGTTGAGTTGGGTTTATATCAAATGGATTTGGGTTTGTACTCATGCCCAAATACAAATTACAGTTTGGTACCCAAACTTAATAGATATGCATATTTAGTACCTAAATTTAATTTTTTTTGGCATATAAGTCCTCAAAATATCGATGGAAAATTACGTTTTGGTACCTAAATTTTTTTGGTCTTACATTTTGGTACCTAAACTTTTCAAGTTTTACAAATAGGTCCAATTTTTGCATGTGTAGTTAAAAGACCCTCAAGTAAATGGATATCCATATCCAATCCATACTCATTTAGATTATGGAAGCAATATTCATACCTTATCCAAACCCATCTATAAATCCCCAAATCCATGTGCACTTCACCAATACCCAACCCATTATCAATGGGTCTACTTGGGTTTGGATATAATTACCCATGGGTGGGTAATTTGCCATCCCTAGTTCCGCCTGCTGTTGTTGATTTTTTTTTGTTTAATTGATAATTATGGGAAATTAATTAAGAGAAAGAAGGAAGAGATATCTAATTAATTAAGGTAATTTGAATTAATGTTTTGTATTTTTTTAGGCTTCTTTGATTTGTATTTAATTTTCAATTAATATTTTGTTTAATTTCTTTTATTTGATAAGATGACTTAAATTAAATTCATCCTATTTAAATTTTATGTTTATCATCATGAAGTTGTATGTAAACAAAAACTAGATCGATGTTAAATGAAAAATATATTATTGGAATGAAAATGTTGGAATGAAAATGCGTTCTTGAATTACAAAACAAATTGATCCCAACTACTACTTTAATTTAATTACAAAGCATCCCAACATCGATACCAAGCAACAAACATGACTAATTATTTCCATACAAGTTCCAAATATGCTCGACTAAGTCCTGATGAAGCCCATGATGTGTTGGTGCAACACGAAGCCTATTATTCCTAGCCAAGTATTCAGTTAGGGTTGAAATATCTATGTCGACATTATTTGGTTGTTGGTCATGAACCTCATAATCAATACTATCTTCCATCTCATCATCAAAATCAACCTGCTCATCCTCGATTATCATGTTGTGCAATATAATGAATGCCAACATTATATCATTAACGGTGGCAATATCCCAAGATCTCGGAATTTGAAAAAATTCTATCAAAAAATTTATTTTAAAAATGATGACGAACTATACAAAAATTAATATGAACAAATTATATTAAGATGATAATAAATTCAGTTTTAAGTAAACAAAAACTAGAAAAAGGAAGATGTCCAAATTTAAGGACAGTAGCATTAGATACAAATTGAAGAAAATGGAGACAATCCTCAAATTTTGATTTGGAAATGAACATCTCCAAATTTGGGTTCTTGCATTTAAGTTGGACACTCACGTCTTTGATGCGCCAAATAAGTTAGGGATTCAAACCATGAAAGGCCAATGAAATTGGGATGAAATCCCATAATACATATATTTTTTAAAAAAATTCTCAAAATACACACGTTATAAAAAAAATTCCCAAAATACACTTGTTTGTGCATCACCACTGTTGTCAACCGCAGTGAATGCATCATCGCGGTTGACGGCCGCGGTGAATGCTTGACGTAACACTGAAATTTCAAACAAACGTAACTTTGCGTTCGGTTATCCGATTGTAGCGATTTTTTATTGATTCCATTTAACTTTCCAAGATCTTTCAATCTGCAGAAAGACTTAATCTAAAAAAAAAGTCGTTTGTTACCCCGAACGAGCAATTTTTCGATTTTGCCAAACTTTGGAAGACCATAACTTTTAGCTCCTCAATCCGAACGCCGTAAAGTTTTTTTTGATTGCGCATAACTTTGTAAGAACTACAACTTTTACTAGGAAATAATTTTTTAAAAAGAAATGTTTTTGGGTATACGTGATTTTGGAAATAACTTTGCCTTTACTTTTCACAAATCCACATACTTTCCAAAATTATGGTTATAATAAAAGTTTTAGTACTTCAAAATTTATGCGAAATCAAAAAAAGTTTCATGACATTCGGATTGTGGAGCACAAAGTTATGGTCTTCCAAAGTTTGTCAAAATTGAAAAATTGCTCGTTCGGGGTAGCAAACGAATTTTTTTTGGGATGAAGGCTTGTTGCAGATTGAAAAATCTTGAAAAGTTATGTGGAATAAAAAAAATTTCTCTACAATCGGATAACCGAGCGCAAAGTTACGCTTGTTTGAAGTTTCAGTGTTACGTCAGACATTCACCGCGGCCGTCAACCGCGGTGATGCATTCACTGCTTTAGTCTGCCGCGGTGAATGCATTTACTGCGGTTGACAACAGCGGTGATACCCAAACATGTATATTTTGGGAAATTTTTTTATAACGTGTGTATTTTGATTTTTTTTTTTAAAAACACAGTGTATTTTAGAATTTTTTCCATGAAATTGCAAGAAAGTTGGGCCGCAAAAGCCCTCTAGGAAATGACCACCGAAAGCACAAATGATTGAGAATGAAAATTGAAAGAAAAGTAAAAAAAAAAAATTAAACAAACCCCAACCCCGAAACTCGTTTCTTCTCTTTCTATCCGTATTCCTTCCGTCTTCTTCTTCCTCCTTCCTTCTCCTTCTTTCTTCCATTTCCAACTCCTTTCTTCCCTCTCTGCGATTCAGTCGCGCGCAGACGCAGCTTGTCCTCCTCTTCTGCAAAAATCTCCAGAACCCTAGGAGCTCCCCACAATCCCTTTCTCTCCCTTACTGGAATGAAATTCCAACTTCTCGCTCCGTCTCTTCCCAGATTTCCGTGAGGGGGACTTAGGGTTTCTTCACAGTTGCGCAAGGTTTTCGAATACATTAGTCCGCGCCTTCAGATTGAAAAATTCGCCCGCTGCCTCGTTGGATCTGCGCCATGGACTCGCGAGATTCGGCATCTCAATCCTCCTCCTCCCCTGCGGCGGCCGCACCGGCGACCGGCACTTCTACGTCGTCCAACGGGGAGGACGACGCAGTTCTCTCCTTGACCGCTGCTCTCGCTAAGGACGCCGCATTGCACTTCACGTCCCGCCGCTTCTCCGACTGCCTCGATGTTTTGCATCAGGTCAAGCTGAAGAAAGAAGGCGATCCTAAAGTGATTCTTCTGACCTCCCTGCTCGTGCTCTTCATTGTTAATTCTCTGGCTTAGTCTTTTGACAGTTGAGCTCAGTTAGTTAGTTGCTAGTGGTTTCGTTTTTTCCACTTGGACTTGTTGGTCGATTCCCTGATTTTTTTTAGTAGTATGGGCTGGGATTAGTGATAAGAAGCTGGTGGTATTTGAAATTTTCTGGTTAGGGAATAGTCTTACTGTGGAATGTAGATGTGAAAGTGGGTTAGGGTGTTTATATGGGGTTGACAGGTATTTACTTGGAATATGAATTTATGTATGTCGAACTTGTTTAGCCGTCTTCCCCTCTTTGATTTTAGTATGCAAGCTAGTGAAGTTCTTAGGAGAAGAGAATCATCTAGATCGGCATCTGGTTCCTATTATGGACTTAATACACAGGTATAATTGGTAGTGATAATGGAGATTATGATAAATTGTATAGACTTGAGGTTTAACAAGTGCTGTCAATTAGTTTGAATTAATGGCCTCTGGTATTTTGTCCAGTGGACAATTTAGGGATGGTTGGGTTTGTGGCTGTGGTCATTTTGTCAAGTTTGTTTACTGTTCATCTCCTTTAATTAAAGTTTGGCTTTTTGAATCCTTTCACATCTCTGCTAGGTACTTCACAATATTGCTATAGCAGAATATTTTCGAGATGGTTGTTCGAATCCAAAGAAGTTGCTTGATGTGCTCAACTCCGTCAAGGTACGACTTGTTTTCTTTCCTCTTTCTTTTGAAGCTCAAGGTTTTACAAACTATCACTAGGTTTCTACATTGTTTGGTTGCTTATCATGCATGCTTCTATTTGACCAGACCCTTAAACTGAGTGTTTTATGCTGTGAAGCAGTGAGTTCCTTAATTATTTTTCAACAAGTGGGTATTTTATCATTGATGAATCTGTGATGGTTCCAGTGTATCCTTGCACCAGCAGGATATGTCACTTTGTGTGACTACTCAGAGTTGCCAGTTTACCTGGATTGATTTGGTGCTGCCAAATTTTTTGTGGATTTTTTGTTATGACTTTGATTCTTTGGGTGGTAGTTGATATATCCATTTTTCATGCTGGTTTTTATGAGATCAGAAGAAAAGCGAGGACCTTGCAAATGCTTCGGGAGAAGCTGTGGAAGTTGGTAGCAACAAAGTCGCACCTAGTTCTAAAGGAAGTGGTACGATGACACATCAGTCGTCTGGTGGAAATAGTGGAACACTGGTTTACATGGATGAATTTGACCCAGCTGTAGCAACGCTAAACATTGTGGGTTCTGTGATGTCTCCCAGTTGATTTTATGTTACCGATTTACTGTGGAATAGGAAATAACATTTCCCTTTTGCCTTTGGGAATTGTAGGCAATTATCTGGTATCATCTTCATGAGTATACGAAAGCCCTATCGGTGTTAGAGCCTCTGTATCACAATATTGAGCCAATAGACGAGGTACTTAACTGTTAATGTCGAATAGTTCATTTGGGTTAAACTTATATTTCCTGATCCTGATCTTTATGTGCAGACGACAGCTCTTCATGTTTGCTTGTTATTGCTGGATGTCGCACTTGCTTGTCAAGATGCATCCAAATCTGCTGTAAGTTCAATTGTCTCTGGACATGACACTTCAGTTTCTATGCTGCATATTCCCTCTATCAGTAGTTTCTTTCAGTCAGAAACAGCTTATGTATTGTAAGCTGAGACATGCTGTTTCATTTTCAATTCAAATAGCAACCCTTTTTTTTGTGATTAAACTTTCAGATAGGAACTTTACTGCTTCTAGGATGCCTTCCCCTTATTTGTCGCTTAGGTTAGCCTTATTGAACATCTTGTAGGGAAATAGTGAATTATATTAATCATTTTGTTGCTCTGCATTTTTCAATGGTGTGGTGTATGTAGCAAAATTCATGCTGGGTCTTCCTTGAGTTGGAAACTTTCCATTGACCATGACTTATAGTTGTGCTTTTGGTTACTGTTGTGCTAGATTAATATATAGCGGTTAGTGCTACGAAATGATTTTATTTCATCAACTTTCACTTCCTGTACATCACTTTTATTGTTACATTGTGTATTTACCTCCTATTGAGTGGCTCCATTTAGAACATAATTTTTCGTTCATTGGGCATTGTTTGCATGTTACTCTCCATGAATCTTGACTTTTGTAGCAGTTTCATATGTCTTTTAAGATCTCTCGTTCAGTTGAAAAATGTGCACAGTAATATTATATTCTTTCTAATATACTTCAGGATGTGCTACTTTACTTAGAGAAAGCGTTCGGTGTCAATACTGTGAATCATGGTGATAACGGTAATGCACAACTGCAACACTCAACGAATCTAGTTGCAAAATCTTCCTCTATTCCAACAAGTTCATCAGCAGTCGATGCATCTAATTCTGATTTAGGGGCTAGCGGGAATTCCTTAGAAAGTTCGTTATCAAGATCACTATCATTATCGGAGGAGTCGCTGGAGTATGAATCTATGTTTTCTCTCGACATAAGTTCTCAGGGCTTGGGGAAGCCACCAGGCTTTTCATCGTCTACTGATCTTTCAAGGAACTCAGGGGATAGGTCTATGTCTACCATCGATTTGAAGCTTAAGTTGCAACTGTACAAGGTTCAGTTTCTTCTTCTGACCAGGAACTTGAAACATGCTAAGCGTGAAGTGAAGCTGGCTATGAACATTGCACGAGGGAGAGACTCATCAACAGCCTTACTCTTGAAGTCTCAGCTTGAATATGCCCGTGGCAACCACCGAAAAGCTATCAAGCTTTTGATGGCATCGAGTAATAGAACAGAAATGGGAATTTCAAACATGTTCAACAACTTAGGTTGCATTTACTATCAGCTTGGGAAATACCACACCTCATCAGTCCTCTTCTCAAAAGCACTGAGCAGCTGTTCATCTCTTCGGAAGGACAAGCCTCTAAAGCTGTTAACTCTGTCACAGGATAAGTCTCTCCCCATATTGTACAATTGTGGCGTACAGCACTTGGCATGTGGGAAACCTTTCCTGGCTGCTCGGTGTTTTCAGAAGGCGAGTTTAATATTCTACAACAGGCCTCTTCTTTGGCTCCGTCTTGCTGAATGCTGTATCATGGCTTTAGAAAAGGGAGTAATTAGAGGTTGCAGTGGTGCCTCTTCTGGCAAATCAAACATCATGGTACATGTTGTGGGTAAGGGCAAATGGAGGTATCTTGCTTTGGACGATGGGAAAACAAGAAATGAATTTGCTGAAAAAGAGGTTCTGTCAATGGGTGATGGTCAACCTAAGCTTTCGATGTCCTTTGCTCGGCAGTGCCTATTCAATGCTTTGCATTTGTTAGACTACTCCGAACTAAACCATCTGAAGTATGGGTTACCGTCATCTTTCTCCTTGGAGGAAAATGAATCCGACGGCACTCTTAAGAGCCCAAATCACAAGAACTTGACAGGTATTGATGCCAAAGCCTCGGCTGGTAACATGGGTCTGATTAATGCAAATGGTGATGCGAAAGAGCAAAAAGGAGGAACACCAAGCCAGGAGGTTATGCAGAACTCGATATCTTACTACGAAGTTGTCCATCGGAGAGAAAACCAGATGATTAAGCAAGCTCTTCTTGCAAACCTTGCATATGTTGAGCTGGAACTTGAAAACCCGACCAAGGCTTTGTTGAGTGCAATGTCTCTCTTGGAACTACCGGAGTGTTCGAAGATTTTCGTCTTTCTTGGACACTTGTATGCAGCAGAATCACTCTGCTTACTGAACAGGCCCAAAGAAGCAGCCGAGCATTTGTCGATTTATCTCTCTGGTGGAAACGATGTTGAGTTGCCCTTCAAGCAAGAGGATTTTGAGCAGTTGCTAGTGGAGAAAAGTTTGGATTCCGAGGAGTCAAATGGAGCAGCAGCACAGAACAAGTCTTCTAACTCTGTAGAGGAATTACAAAGCATTGCATTCCTGAAGCCAGACGAGGCACGTGGAACCCTCTATGCAAATTTCGCCGCCATGTACGCCATGCAAGGAGAGCTCGAACGAGCCTACCATTTCGTGACACAAGCATTGACCCTCGTCCCAGGGAACCCGGAAGCCACGTTGACGGCAGTGTACCTGGACCTGTTGCTCGGTAAGTCTGAATCGGCTGTTACCAGGTTAAAGCAATGCAGCCGGGTAAGGTTCGTTTCAGGCAATGTAGTATTGAATAAATCTTGATATTTGGTGGGTCGGTTCATTGGGTTTGTATCAGTTTGAGTCCAGCCGGGATGGGTTCGTTTCACTCAGCATTCTTGTCTCCCGGTTCGCTCCGTTCAGTGGTTAGCTTAGCAAAGGTAGATCAGCAAATTCCTGGTGTAGGGTTTTGTAACATATATATAGCTGACTTCAGAGAGAATAAAATTTTGGGTTTTGGTTATTTTTCGTCGGTTTTGGTTCCCAAATTTAGGAGTTGGGGGTAGTTTGGGAGGAGGGTTTGAATTGATCGGTGCTGGCCTGAGGATTGATTGTTTGGGGGGTATGAACAGGCGAGAAGAAGAGCCAGCACCATTTGAAGATTTGTAATGTTATGCTTCTTGTTGAGATTGCCAGGAAGTATTCAGCAGGAGGAAGAGTGTGTGAGGGAGATGGAGAGAGACAGAAGGAAAATGGACTATTCAACAGTTTTCTTTCACATCTCAAAACTGTTATTTCAATGTGTATTTGAGGTCCATTTTTGGGGTATTCATCAGTTACTCCCTCCTCTTCCATCTTCTACTCCTTGCTCTGCTTGCCTCTCATGCAGGTCTGAATTGCACAGGCAAATTTTGTAGTGTTTGTTGCTTATTACTTGGTTTCTATATTGTGCTCTTTCGGAGTGGATTTTGCTACTTACTATGCCGATGATGGACGCGTTGATTGTCGTTGGATCGATTGTACAGTCCCTCGATTTCAGCCGTTAGATGTCCGAGGCAGTAGTGGCATCGCGTGCTATAGATGCATGGAAAGCATTGAACTGTGGGAATTCTAGATATGCTAACTGTCACAGCTAAATGCGTATTAGTAATGATGATCCAGTATTCAATCGACAAACATCATACGACATGTTATTTTTAGTGGGAAATCCTTTATTCTTATTCTTAAAAAGCGCAAGCCAGTTCATGGATAATGTATTTACTCAGTTGAGCTTGGCAAGCGACACAATCCGCGAGTGAATTCAGACGCCGAACTCTATCTCGATCCTTGGAGCAGAATGAATGACCGTTGAGATAGTTACATGCCCATGCAAGTAACTACTGCTTAACATGAAGTTTGATTCATATACTAGTGTGCTTAACATGAAGTAGCTGATCGATCCCTATAGATTAGCAATCTAACCGACCCCTAGGTTTCCGACTTTGAGTTTGAACAACATGGGAGAAAAATAAGGAAGGCAAATTCAGAGAACACACGATACCCATATCCATTGAGCCACCATAAAAAAAAAAAAAAACCCCAGAACCAACCAGAGTTAAATTAAATGATTAAATAAAACCAACAAAACGGAATCATAAGCACATTGGCTGGTAAACATGGACACGGACAGACAGCCAAGAAAGAAATTAAAGCCGCGCAATAAGAGAAGCAAAATTAAACGTCCAAACAAAACTAGCTAGCTGCAACTGCAATTGCATCGATGGCGACCTCTCAAGTCTCTTATCCATCAATGGCCACTCCCTCCACCGGAACCACCGTGGTTTGAAGAACCTGCAGCTCCAGTACTTCCGCTGCCAACAACAACCTCGCTCACGGCGGCGACTTCCGGATCAGCCTGCTCCTCCTGGTGAGGCTGCTCATCATCAGCAACAGGTGGCGCCAAAACCAGCGGAGGCGGAGGCGAGGAAGGAGGCGAAGGCAGAGGCGAGGAAGGAGGCGAAGGCGAATCAGGGATAGCCATAATCGAGAAACTCCTTGGATTTGCTCGCTGATTTGGATTATGCCCATGATTCTCCATGATGACAGACTACTTTACGATTAACCTACACCCAACGAGCCAAGACAGAGGCGGCTTATACCCACGATTACTTTAACAAAGTAAAAGCAAATTGTACGTATCTTAGGGTTAGGGTTTCCGAAGATGGATAGAGCCAAGAAAGAAAGAGGAGCAACGTTTTACCTTTTGCTCCTGACGGGATTTCACGCACGAGTGATCTCGAGCGATTTAGCGAAAGAACTAGAAAACACGATAAAAGATTTTTTTTTTCTCTATTAATTACTAATACTTTATCAATCGACTGAAGAAAACGAAGAGTAAAGGTACATATTTATAGGCCTAATCCTATAAATCCTTCCCTCTTAAGACAAGGAAACCCAAACCTAAAACAACAAGTAAACGAATACTTCCTGAACAAGATACTTAAATAATAATCATAGACCCAAACTAATACGGATAACCCAAATAATAACAGAATATCCCAACAAATAAAAATAATAAAACAATAATAATAATAATAATAGGCTTGGCCCAAGATGCTGTCACGCATAAGCTCCCTTTGGAAAAATTGAAGAAGCTCGAGAGAGGATTGGCCCGCGGCGAACAGCAAATCAGCTGCAGGAATGATGATTTCGATTTCTGAAGATTAAGTAGATAGAGAATCCCCTATTATTATTAGATTATTATTATTAGATACTAGCTTGTAATCCGACCCGTTGGTCGGACGAGCTGAGCCGAATATTGAATTATTGGGATAACCCGTAGATTCAACCATTAAGCTAAATTGGTCTAATGGTGAGTACCGCCTAGCATATCCCTAATAATCATACCAAAGTGAATATATTGGAACATAAACAGTACATCAAAAGTTGGTACACCCATGAAGTTAGACCATTAAAAACATACCAATGAAATTGAATAGCATCGAAAAACTTCAACTTCATTATATAATTACATGAGATCAGAAAGAGAACACCATTAATTTGATTTATAAAACTTTCATCTTGTCGTCATTGTGCTTTCTGGTTTTTGTCAGGCCATGATAAAATCTAAGGAAATCAAGAACGAACAACACGATTTGGGATAGGAACCGCCGTTGTCGTATTCCTAGAGAATGGTGGTAAACACGGACTCACCTGCCAAACTGGTTTGGATTGAGATTTTTATCGGGTATCAGGGAACCATATGATTATAAATTAGACTTGATCAAAACAGGCCAAAACTTAAAATTCAGCATGTTTGACCGACCCATGCAAAATTCTAATTATTCGTTACTTTTAAACTTTCTATTTGAAAATAAAAAATAGTGAAAGAAAATAGATGACTGCAATTCGCCATTTGCACATCACTTATTCGGGAATAAAACCATAGAAATTCAAAAGAAAATGAAAATGTTTAGGATCGTTTTAATGTTTAAAATAACCAAGTAGATCTTTCTGTTTAGTTTTTTTACTAACAAATACCAAACGATTCCCTATAAAATACACTATAATTTTATTATTATGATATCAAATAATTATATAATATATATTTGAAATGATAAAAATTGGACTAATTAGGTTGGTCGAGGTTGAACCATTGAATAACTTTAAATTACATTATATTTTAGCCACTAAGATATAAAATAATATAATAATATATATTATGCTAAAGAAAATAGCTTGTTTTAGAATGTCAAACCAATGATGTTCATTTGTTTTACTTGATGGCCAAATCCGGTGTAGGTCAGGCACATTCAACTCTTTTATTTTATGGTTAGCGGTTAGCCCATTAGATACCATGCATTAGTTTATTGTTAAATTTTTTTATTTTTAGCATAAAAAGAAGTATTCTTTTTGCCTTTTCATATATATTTTATCACCACGGAGAAATACAAGGGCTTAAAGAAAAAAATTGACACTCCTGAACCCGTTTAAATCCGCATGTGTACGGTAAGTTGGCCCGTTCCACAGAGGAAAGAGAAAAAAAATTAACACTACCTATTCTATCCTTCCTACAAACGCTCATGGAGCAGGGAATTTGAAATGGGGGAAGGGGTTTTTCCTCCCTGCTATTATATGTTTTTTATTTAAAAGGATACAACAAATGGTCTTAGTGTGATTGGTTATATTCCTTGTTTTTCTTTAAAATGGACATGGTTCGAATCCCCGTACGTGTCTTTTTAATGAATAAAAAAAAAGTAATTGTGAAGACCAAAATGTCCTTCCTACTTTCACTCTCGTTGCAGGAAATTTGAAATGGGATTCCCGTTTTTCCCTTTGGTGTATTATATTATGTGTAGATATTAAAGCGTGAGTTGTATTTAAGGGGTCCAGTGGGCTGTGCTATGGTGCACGGTAAATTCCCTACAGCACATGCGGAGAACCGTTAGATTGGGTCTATTATTAGATATATTAAAGCGTGAGTTGTATTTAAGGGGTCCAGTGGGCTGTGCTATGGTGCACGGTAAATTCCCTACAGCACATGCGGAGAACCGTTAGATTGGGTCTAAGTATCGATATCCACCATTCAGTTTCCCCTTCCCCGATTCTCTCCCCCTTATTCCCGTTTACCTCATTCCCAATTCCTCGTATTCCCTACGACGCCGGAATGGCGGCTAGGCAAGTCGGAGCTCCGCCGTTTCTTTATCTTTGGACGATGATATTAAAGCGTGAGTTGTATTTAAGGGGTCCAGTGGGCTGTGCTATGGTGCACGGTAAATTCCCTACAACACATGCGGAGAACCGTTAGATTGGGTCTAAGTATCGATATCCACCATTCAGTTTCCCCTTGCCCGATTCTCTCCCCCTTATTCCCGTTTACCTCATTCCCAATTCCTCGTATTCCCTACGACGCCGGAATGGCGGCTAGGCAAGTCGGAGCTCCGCCGTTTCTTTATCTTTGGACGATGATGAAGGTGGGGTTGCAGCTTTGTCGTTTCCTTGATGATTGACGAAGCTCTGGTCTCTTATCAGTTCTACAATAGATCTTGAAGCTCTGGTCTCTCAGCCTTGGTCGATTTACTTGGCGGCTGGCCGAGTTTGGCCCGGAGGCCGCCATTGATTCTTCCCTCCCTTCAGGTCCATTGATTATCACATCCTCCCTTGGGGATCCACTTCCTTTCCTTTCCTTTTTTCCCCTCTGTTGATTGGATGGAGTCTGGCTGAGTTGAGATCTTCGTTCTCTCTAATCTCGCCGATCGAGTTCTCTCTTCCCCAATGTTTTCTCTGTTCTTCTGTTGGGATCCGATCGGTGGCTAGGCGAGTTAGGTTCCCCATCCCTTCAGATTGGCAGGCAGGGCAACTATCAGTGTTAAAGTGAAGCTATGCTTGGCAACATGGCAACATGCATACTCTTCATTTTGCTGATTAAGCTGTTGACGCATCAGACTCAAGTAAGGGGACAACAAAGAATAAGATTGATAAGTTTTCAAAAACAGAGATGGCAGAAAATCGATATTCACTTAGCTATGCAATTGGGCTTCAAACCCTCCTCTGATGCCCCAAAATTACACATGCAAAGAAGAAAAAGCTAGAACTGATCTTTGTGAATATCGATTTTTGAAATACCTTCCCACTACAAGAAAATCTGGCTATAGAGTCAAAGGTTATTTGCGTCTAAAAGCCAGTTTTTTGTTTCTGTATATCTTTCGAAACAAATAAATTATTTGCATCGGACGCCTCTGTCTCTAATTCTCTTTAGAAGCAAATATAGATGCAAATAATATATGCATCTAATTAAGAAATCTGATTCAAATCTTTTTTATTGTAATTCCACATTAAAGAACATATATTTTTCTCTTCTTATTTGGTTTTAGAAAAAAATATTTTTGTTCCTATTTCTAATTTTATAGACAATTATAATGGTTTCTAAAACACCTTACCGAAGCAAATATTTACTTCATGAACAAATACTTTTGCTTCTATTTCAACTTTCATAATTTCGATTTAATATTTATTATTTTACCTTCAATCGCACAAATAAAATAAAATAATAATTTTATTAATTACTTTTTAATACATTTATTCTTAAATACATTAATACATTGCCCATAAAAACATAAATAGAAAAAGGAAAAATACACAAAGAATACATTGTGACGTTGATAGTGATCGTTGTGCCAGCTCTATGGCAGCTAGGCCGACGCGACTCTCGCCTTTCATCCTGATAAGCCGCCACTGATTATGCTCGTTGCCCAGACCCGTTGCCACTTGTTTCCCTCCGCCATTCCGGCCTCTCCAGATCAAGCGAATCTCTACCTACATCCCGATCCTTCTTCCCTCCAGATCGATCTCAGATCGAGACCCAGTGGAAGGCGGAACCCAACGCCGCCAGCAACTCTTCCCCGTCTTCCATTTTCCGTTTGAGAGCTCCAATTGCTAGAGAGCACCCAGACCCATAACTCTCGAATCTCCTCCACCGCCGCAAATTCCTCGAGCGCCATTGTCAACCCGGTTGTTGTCCCCAATCTTCCCCTACAAACATTACAATCCAAATAACCCATTTAATTAAGAGAGGGAGACGAGGAGAAAGACATAATCGCAAGTCAAAACCCAAGAGACAGTTTCCTTACAACAAACAAAATAAATTGCTTCTTCGACCGAAAATTGTAATCCCAGGTCGATTTATTGCTGATGGCAGAGGTAGTTCTAGATCAATGAAACTGGAATCGGCTAGCAACGGCAACGGAAGGCAAACGAGTAAGTTGATTCGTCGGAGGCGACGTTGACGAATGGAAGCTAGAGGATCGTGGGGAACGGGCTATCGGCGGCGGCGGAAGGTAGAAGAGGATGTTTCGTCGGAGGGGACTCCTACATAGGGAAGCCAAGCGATGGAAGGGAGGTTTGGCTTGCTGGGTTTGGAGGAAGAAAGGAAGCCATTAATTGTTTGATAATAGGTCGTTGGGTTTGAAGGTAGAAGAAGAGAAAGAGAGTGGGTGCCTGGGGTGGGTGGGGGTTTGAAAAGTAAATGCAAAGTTTTTTTTTGGAAAGTTGAAGTAAAAGAATGGGCAGAGAAATCTTTGGGAGGGAAGATAGAGCGGCGCCGGGTGGGGAGAGGGAAATTTGGGAGCCATTACAAAAATTAAAATTTCACAATTGTAGCTTTTTTAATGACAATGAAATTTGGCAGGGACACCAATTATAATTCTTAAACCTATACACAACAACTAATTCAAATTAGTGTTTTAGTAGCATATGTATTTGTCTCTAAATAGTAAATATATGTTATGGGTTGTAAATAACATTTATATTTGTCTCTAAAGACTATTAAATTGTCTTCATATGACATAATTATAAATGACATTTGTATTTGTCTCTAAAGACTATTAGATTCGCCTCCATATGACATAATTATAAGAGACATTTGTATTTGTCTCTAAATAATAATAAATTTGCATCTATATGATATATGTATAAGTAGCATTTATATTTGCATCTAAAAACCATTAAATTTGTCTATATTTGACATAACTATAAGCAACAAATATATTTGTGTCTAAAGACTATTAGATTTGTCTATAGAGACAAATAATTTTACCTATTGAGACAAATAATATATTTGCCCCTAAAACTTAACTATTGAGACCAATACAACAATTGTCTCTAATTATTTGTCTCTGGGCTGATTTTCTTGTAGTGTCCGTTGATCATTTGACCGAGACTAATAGCTAAGTGAAAGGGGAATACTCGGAATTTTGGCTGAAAGTGGCGAGAGCTTATTCCCTCTGCTCCATTCACCTTATATATTCTCCTGCTGGCTGGGTATGTAATGCAAGAGCGGGTAGGTGGGGTAATTAGACTGATAGAGAGCAGGCAAATGAGCTGGAGTCAAGAAATACAAGGGAAGTTTTGAGGTGTATTTGTTGCATTCCATGTAAATAAGATGCCACGTAGGAATGATAATGGATCGTGTCGGGCGTGGATAGTGCATATCCGTTATCCTACCTAAAATGCTTTGGGTTTTATCCATACCCATACCCATATAAAAAATGGGTAGAAAATCAAAACCATACTCATACCCGTTCGGGTTTCGGGTATCCACGGTTATCCATGAGTAATAAATTTTCTTTCTAATTTCAACCAATATGTTAACTTTGACACAATTCTCACATTACATAGGAGGAAAAGTACGACAATAATTTACTAGAATGAAGAAAATTAATTAAAACAACACAATTTCATGAAAATATTATATTTAATGCTAAATATAAAATATGATACAGAAAAATAATGATTATTTATATACAAAATACATTTGCATGTGTATAATCGGGCGGGTTCGTGTTAAATAGTGAGAAAATCGTGCCCACTCATTACCCGCAATATTCGGGTTCGAGTTTTACCCTACCCGATTAGGTCGGATTCAGGTGGATATCCACGATTAAGGATATTTTTGTCATCCCAATGCCAAATGTGTAACAAATTTTTTTTGTGCATACATACTAACTAAGTGCACTTGGTAACTTGGTTCTTTTACCCACTCCTGCATTCTTCTCTTCTTAATTGGTTAATTTGTCCTTCATGAAGTTATAAGTTGCCTCCCAATTCACCATCTTGCTTCCGTGATTTGCTCTCATCATCATTACTTAATTAATATTTGTGACTCTTCCTTCCAATATTAGTCTCAGGTAGGAAATCTTGATATAATTGGTGATTGCAAGTCGATCTTGGGTTCGGAGTAAGATTGGTCAACATAATGGGGATTACTAATTTAGTATAGAAGAGGGCAGGCTAGGAAGATTTATGAGATTTAAAGTTTCAACTTTTTTGTATTAACTATAGTCAATTCAAACGGTTAAAAGTTCGTCAATATATAATTGAAGTGATATGCCTATAGTGCAAGATTAACCAGCACAATAATACTATGCGATACAATATTATGAACACTACTTATAATGATACTTTCTTAGCTTTTGCGTTGACATAATCATATATATTAGTTTCAATTCGCTAACCATATATATGAGATTTATTTTGTGTGTCTCTAATGCTCCAATCAGCCTTACACAAATTGGTTTTTATATGCCATTAGAGTTTTCATAGACAAAAGGTTTTAGCATTTAACTTCCAGTAACTCCTAACATTAATACTTGGATTTGAGCATGTTGTATGATGAGTCTATAATGCAACTTATAACTCAAATATATTAATTAAGAGCCATATTTTATGCCGTTTTAACAATTTTGGCATTGCTCCCACTTGCTTTTTGTTACTCAATATTCAAATTATTCTTTTAATTTTTGTCATCTTGACATAAGCACCATCGATATTTTTTTGGATGAAATGATGAATGAATTTAGTTTGTGTTGATGCCATAGAACTTTGTACCTCCTTTCCAAGTTAGCTAAAAAAAATTATGCTTACGTCATTAATTAATGAGATTTTGATATTTACTATAAAAGTTATTCCAAAAAATTTCTCGCAGCAAAGCGCGGGCCAATTAACTAGTATATACTACTAACAAAGTAACAATTACCTTTCCTTCCTTCACATGGACGGGAAAAAAGCTTTTCTTTTACAATGAGAAAAAAGGTTACCACTTGGTTTACCTGCTGGATACGTTCTGAATTTTTCTCTTCTGTTCTGTTTTTTTACTTCGAATATTTCAGTTCTTTTACACTTCCTTTCCTACGTTCTTCCTTTTTTTTAATTTAATTTTCTTTCGAGCTTGCTAATTGCTATGCCTCTTTCTAAAAGTTAATTAACATCATTGTGAAAAATAGACTACATACAATTTATTCGCTAAATCTTTCCCGGATTCTATATATCAATCAATTTTATAGAAATACAAATGGCGTTGAGAGGGATTGTAAACATGTGGCGTCGATGTTGATGGTTGTCACTTGTCACAGGCAATATGGTGATGATTTTCTTTTTATTTTATTTTTTAATTGACATGTTGACCGCCACATGTCTTCAGAAACATCATTGTCCTTTTCATAACCTCTCTTTTTATCCATTCCAATTACTTCTACGGCCTGAAACAATATGGACAAATTAAGCCAAGTTCAATTGAAACCCAGAACATCAGAAACCTAATAGAACCCTGCATTTATGATCTTTTTACCGTTTGGACTCATTTGTTAGTTTATGATTGTTTAAGGATTTGATTAGGAATTTGGAGATAAATTGAGGGATTAATAAGTTGGGGTACCAGTAAGAAATTGTGGGATTACTATATAAATCATTTATTACGTGGGTATGAAAGTTAAGCAAAGATTAAACTATAATTATTTCCTAATCTCTCTCCTTTTCTCCGCTCCCTGCCGAACTCCCTCTTCCTCTCTACTGCTGCTGCCACCGCAGCCTCTCTTCTCCCTTCCCCATCCAATTCTCACTTCTTCCCTTCTATTCCATTTCCACGGGTTAAAGAAGTAGATCACCACCTTGGTGATTGACTCATTTACCTCAAATCCCTAGCAATAGATAGAACCCGAAATCCGGGTTTCTATAATCTAGTATCAGAGCCCGGTTACGATGATTGAGTTTTTCACTACTCTAAACCGAGGGCGGACAGCGAAGAATAATGGCCATCACCAAATCGCAAACTGTGGCGGAGCAGGCTGTCGAAAAGACGGCAACGGAGACGGGAACGACCAAGACTGACACCGGGACAAAGTCGGCGGCGACCCTAGGGCAGGAGACCTCGAAGCGGGTGGGCTGAGATGCTGGTGGGCCTTGTGACGGGATTGGGATGCTACCGACCCCGATGGCTGAAGATATCATGGCCATACGTGGAAAGGAAAAAGTTACAGGCTACGACAACGTGTTTTAGTACCCATGTTTCGGGCCGCTAGGCGCGAAGGCCCATGACGAAGGATTGAGACGTGCGGGAGAGCCGAATGGGCTTGGATGGATGGGAATGGGCTCGAGCCTAAAAGGTGATCAGCCGGGCCCTGTGCATCGACCAGGAGGTTGGGCCGAGCGGGCCCCCGAGTCGGATGGGGTGGAGCAAGCTAGAGTGTCGAATCGGGCCTAGGTGATTCAACCGGACCGAACATGGCAAATCGGAGTTGGGGGTGGACCGGTAGCGGTCGAATCGAGAAATGAAACAAATTGGTTTGGGCAGACACGTGACCGAGGGGCAGCAGGCTGTCCGCAGGGTGGCGAGGCCAACCGGGCGAATTTTGCGTGCCATACCATTCCTTTGTAGCACCAGGAGATACAAGAGGACAACCCGGTAGGTTCGACAACACCAGGATGAGGATGGGTATGGGTGGGTCCCAGAGAGAGATTCACGGGTTTTTCAGGGATACCGCGGCAGGTCCTTCATGTTGAGTCAAAAGCTTGACTTAGCAATTCTACTAGCATAAGATAACTTGCTTTGAATATGTGTTATTATGGTGAACTAACAATTCTAGCAGAAAATATAACAATCAAGGATATGAAAGGATTTGTTAGGAAAAGGAAAGAATTCAAAATGATTGCTTTCCCTCCAAGAAGTTACCATATCAAGCGAAGAGTGTATCAAATCAAGGAGATACTTGCCACATAAAGGATTACAATGAAAGGAAATGAAGTCTTGCATTCACTATAAACAGGAGAGTCATTTATAGACTAGAGTACCTTTTGCAAAGCTCTCTTCTCCCTTGTAATAGCGAAATAGTGAGATCATATTTCGTGGTGCGAGTAGCTCGATATCTTGGAAGTTGAGATAGTCAAGCTAGGTCGGGTTTAGGGTAGAAAGAGTGAATTCTTGCTTGGAAGTTGCACTAGGTGGTTTACTCTTCAATCAAGCTAAACTAAGAGTGTTGTCTTGATTGAGTGAGTGGGTAGCTTAGACTTGGGATTAACTAAGGAGTGAATAGGTGTGGAGTTGCACCTATTTGGTTCTTGGCACGTTGTGTCAAGGTTCTTTTTATTTTATAGGATAGAGAGTCTTTTATTTTAATAAAAGTTAGAGTCTCTCGTGAGATAGTGGTAATTATCTCCGGGACGTGGATGTAAAGCCATATTGGCCGAACCACGTTAAAATCGCATATTCCGACTCATCTCCATCTCTCTATACTTCCACTATCATAGTCTAGTTCATCATAGTTGAAACAAGTTCGTTATAGCAAATTAATCATTCAAGAGGGATTCTTGGCAAACCATTTTGGGTTGCTCAATCAAGCTAGTGCTAATCTCTCACTATTGAAATCAGAATTAATTTGTGCATTGACCACGTCAAAAGTATTCATTATTGACCCCGCTTGGTCTAACAAGTGGTATTAGAGCTTGGCTACCTCAAAATTATCAAAAGATCCGCGAGGAAACTGAAATCCCGTATACCAACCATGAATAGTGGGTCATCTATGAATCATGGTTCCAACTCCACTCACATGGAGGGTCTCTCACATAATAGACCACCATGGTTTGATAGATACAACTATTCCTTTTGGAAAACTCGTATGATTGTTTTCTTCAAAGGAATGGGTAACTGGAATGTGGTGGAGAAAGGTGTGGGTGATATTAAAGATGATCCCGACACATGGTCAGAAGATGATCTAAAGAAGATGGAATTAGATGCTAGAGCAACGAATGTCTTATATTGTGCAATATGTCCAGACGAGTTCAATAAGGTGAATCGGTGCAAGACGACACATCAGATCTGGAAAACCTTGGAAATATTGCTTGAAGGAACAACCAAGGTATTAGAATCCATGATATATCAATTCAGTGGTGGAGCCACATGTGGCCAAGGTAGGTTATTTGCACTACCTTGGTCCAAAAAATGTGAAGTAATTATATTTATGTAATTATTGATTGAATACAAGATTTCTATATAATTGTAGATAATTTTAAAAAACTAATGTTTTATGACATATATTTAACTTTAAATTAATATATTCTATAAGTGAGTTCAATATAAACAAAAACTCAAAACTTAGGGATTTGTTGCTATCGGTTGCCATTCAAGTGTTGAAAGACCACTTATTGCAATAAGCGAAGTAAAGAAACTCTTATAAGTAAAATGAGTTGTGAAATCATGAACGATTTTTCCATGTGGTATCTTAATATCTCTCATAATTTGCATGATGAATATATTTTAGAAGAATTTTCAAAACATGAGCACATCCAGAAACATACGTAATATAGTTGTTGTTTTTTTTCACGTTCGACCCACCTTAAATGAATTTCTGGCTACGCCACTGTATCTATTGGTGCATGAATATCAAATGTTCAAAATGCATCCAGGTGAGTCTATCTCTGATATGTATGTACGGTTTAATTTAATAGTAAGTAGACTTAGTGCTTTAGGTAAAACTTATGACAATGTTTAGTAGGCCAGGAAAATTCTTTGTGTCTACCTACAGAATGGATGCCTAAGAAAACTGCTATAGAAGAGGCAAAACATTGTCTACACTTGGTATAGAAAATCTGATAGGATCCTTAATTAGTCATGAAATTGCATTAAAATCTCAAGATGATGAGGATAATAACAAGAAAAATAATAGTTTATCATTTAAGGCCTCCGAGAAAAGAGTCATAAATGATGAAGGATCAGGGGATGATTTTGATTAAGGATTTTCCCTCAGTTCAAAAAAAATCAATTTCTTTTTAGAATTAGAAAGAAAACAAGGGATAGCTCCTTCTATTTTCGCGAGAATAATAGAAATGGAAAGCTAAAACCTTCTGATGGTCAAAAGAAGAAAAATAAAATGGAAAGTGATTGTGAAGATCAAGGGTTACCAAAATGCTACAAGTGTGAAAAAAGTGTACATGTAATGGCTGAATGTCCAAACAAAGGACGTGGTAGAGAAAAAGCTTATGCAGTGGCTTGGAGTGAATCAGAAGATGAAAGTGAAGTACAAGGTTATATGGCATTTGCCAATTGTGATGATGAATCCTCTTCGTCAAGATCACATGGAGATGAGGTATATTCATTCTTTCCAACTTATGATAGTGATTGTGGTCCAAATATTCGTAGTAGTATATTAAAACTTATGAAGAAATGCAAAATCATTTTGAAAAACTGAAAGATAGGTACTACAAAGTAAAAAAGGATTTGAAATTAAGTAAGAATGAAATTAAAGAACTAAAAGAGAATTTTTTTTATAAAGGTGATTATATTAAAATAAAAAAGAGGAAACGAAACTGAGGTTCAGAAGAACTGAACCCAGAAAAACGGAACAAGAGCTGTTCGAGAAGGACAAAAGAAAAAAAGTAACAAAAGAAAAGAGGAAAAAAGAAACATATTAAAGCCAAAAACAAAGAAAAAAAGATTAAAATCAAAACAAAGCCACTCTACCAGACGGACTAAGACCGCCCCCGCTGAGTCTGAAAAAAAAACATCCAACGTGACAAAAGAAAAAAAACATTTAGAGTCTAGAAAAGGTTTCTGCTAGCCAGACTGAAGCTTAATCCTTAGCAACCTTGCCATGAGTAGACAACCAAGAAATAACCATCCTAAATGCTTTTCGAGCAATAACAGAAGCCGGAGATTGAACATCTTGAAAGATACGCTGATTTCGCAACCACACTAGCCAATAAGTAGTGTGAAGGATGCAAAAATTGAACCAATCATCAATGTTGCTGGGGGCAGCTGAAGGCCAATTACTGATGATTGTCGAGATATCGCCATCAAGGTTGCCAGCAATCCTTCTCCCTCTCTTAATGGTGTTCCAAATGTTTTGGGTAAAAACACATTTAGTGAATAGATAATCAACACTTTCTTCCTCTTGACAGCAAAAAGTGCATATGTTAGCTAAAGCTAAACCTCTTCTCTTGAGAACGTCCATGGTATAAATTTTCTTGTGCAAAGCGTCCAAAGGAAGAAACATATTTTGCTTGGAACGATGTCTTCCAAATAGCATCAGCCTCAAAGTTCTGAATACCAGGGAATTTCTCTAACATCATTTGTTTTTATGTCGAACTAACAGAGAAGCAGCCATATGGTTTCGGTAACCATGTAATCCTGCAAGGACTGTTAGTAGAAAAATGCAAATTTCCAGTATTCAACAAATTCATAAGATTCTCTCTTTCTCTCTTCGCCCCACCTCTCAAGTCAACACTCAAATTAAGATTCCAAGTTACCTCATTATCGGTGAAGGAGGCGATATCAACGATCCGAGCAGCCGGATTAGAGGCAGCAGCAGCAACCCTCGGGTAGTCAACAACAAGAATAGAGCACGAGATCCATTTATCATGCCAAAACGAAACATGGCCTCCACCTCCAGGATCGATTTGAGCAAACTTCCAGAATAAAGGACATTCTTTGGAGATGTATGCCCACACAGAACTTGAAAAATCAGAATTTATATTAGCCGACTGCCACCGCACGAGGAGAGAGTATTTGGGTATTTGATGTTGATCAATTCTCTCCACAAACTATTCTTTTCAGTAGCAAACTTCCATAGCCATTTAGCAAGAAGGGCCGAGTTGAAGGAAGCCAGATCACAAATACCTAAGCCCTCGTTCAATTTTGCAGCCTTACAAATGGTCCAGCTCACGAGAGGAGATTTCCGTTTATCCCCCACACCATTCCAAATGAAATTTCTTTGAATTGCCTCAAGGTCCTCAATAATCTTCTTCAGTGCTTTGAGCAGGGAGACATAGTAGACTGGAAGGCTAGTGAGAGAAGCTTTATTAAGAGTCAATCTCCCCCCAGCAGATAAATAGTTGCTCTTCCAACCATCAAGCTTTTCCTGGAAATTAGCAATAATCGGATCCCAAATTGAGATAGCATTTGGTTTAACACTGAGTGGGTATACGAGATACTTAGGTGGGTTCCTGCTCCATTTACAACCAAAAATAGCAGGGTAGAAGCTCGGTTCAGGCACATCGCCGATAGTATACATGATAGATTTATCAAGTTTAATCTTTAGTCCAGTAACCGTTTGAAAGCAGACAAGAGTAGATAGAATGTTGATAACTTGCTCATGAGAAACATCACAGAAGATAAGGGTATCGTCTGCAAATAAGAGATGAGTTACGTCACCACGTTGATGAAGATCATCCATAAAGAATTTATTGATCATCCTCGTTGTCTTCAGTCTGGACAGCATGAAAGAAAGGATTTCCATGACAAGAATGAATAACTCCGAGGAAATGGGATCTCCTAGGCGGAGACCTTTAGAAGCGGGGAAAAAACCGTAAGCCTCTCCATTGATCAAAACAGAGATAAGAGGGGAACATACAACACTCTGAATCCATCTAAGCCACAAATCTGGAAAACCAAGCCTCTTCAAAACTTTGAATATACTAAAAGAGGATATTGCAACGCTAAGTGATGAAAATCAAGTTCCGAAGAAACTTAATGATAAATCCAAGAATAATAAAATTATTGAAGAGCTAGAAGAATTAAGAATTAAAAATAACGAGCTTGGACAAATGGTAATAGACTCTAAAACTAAACTTCTAGAAGCAGATACTAAGACAGAATGATTAGAAGGAAAACATAAGGAAAAGGCTCAAAAGCCTCAAAATAAAGATGTTTTTCCACCCAATGACATTAGTCTTCCCCTACAAGCATGATCACTTTTCATCTTAGTTTGAATCAATGAGTCTAGTTATCATCACTTGATCTAGGGAGGCTAGTGTAGTGACTATGAATGATATAATAGTAAATGGGATGTAATGACCATTTGATGTGTTTAAGTGACATATTATGTGATCTATTTAAAGACTTCTGATTATGCAAAAGAGTCTCCAGCTTTTCAAAATTTAAAAAGGGTGAATTGAACCTTTAGAAAATGCAAAATTTCTTCCTATCAAGACATTGTTTTATTCAAAAATTTGCCATGCTAATAAAGTGTGGGGTAAAAACAACATGTGAGGTATCTTTTCATTTCACTAAAATGGGGTTTTGAAAGAGATACTAGTTGAGCTTTAGTGGGGTAGTCCTACAAGGTGATGATAGTTCCTCTCTAATACAAGTAAATTTTTCACCAGTCGAATTGATTGCCTACTTGAGTATGTGTTCTTAAGGGCTCCGACACCCCTTAATTTCATTGACCCTCCACACGAGTTGAGGAAAAGGAACTTTTAAGTTCTTGCTCGACTAATAAGAGTAAAGTTCAAAAGAGCTCTCCACCGTGAGTAAAATCAAGAAAAAAAATGAAAAAAAATAGTTGGTTGTCTGGAGAAGAAAATTTCAAAAAAGAGATTGAATTTGATAAAGGTGCTTCAATGTAATGTCAAAAGGATGGTAGAAAGCATTCGAAGTTTAAATGGTTATCAAAAGTTTCACCCTTACGTTTTGAGACTCTCATGCATGATTAGTAATTGATGTATGGATTGTGTGATGTGATATTCTTGCATATTGATGTAATTAGGAGTCTCTCATGCTATTGTTGACCTTGTAAGTTGCTTATGATCCATTACCGAAGATTAGAGTTGATTGATGATGATTGTATGGTTGTGAATAATGTTTGCTTGGGGACAAGCAAAGTTCAAGTGTGGGGTATTTCTATTTCTTATGACATTTTATTTATAGTGTTTATCACTCCCATTCTTGATACATCTTCCCCTTCTATCAATCCATCTTTAGTCATTTCAATGGTATTTCTTGTCTAAATCTCAACTATTTGATCAATGAGCTTTTAATAGTCCTAGGATGTGTTCTTGTGCTCTTTGATAGCTCTTTGATATATTTTTATGTTTTTGAAGGTACAAAGCAACCTAAGGAAGTAATGATTATTGGATCAAACATTGAAGAACTCTGGAAGACCAAATGAGCTATAAAGAGAAGGTTAAATTGACGGGGAAGTCAACTACAAGTTGGTAAATTATCACAAACAAGCCCATATGAAGAAGACTCGACCCATTCGAACAAAGAAACATGTGGCGGCTCAAGCATCGAGTCCAACCGCCGTCACATGAAACATCGTAAGTTGTGACCAAATCGTGAGGAGACGAAGTCCATGGACCAAGAAGCTAAGCCAATTAAGAAAAAGAGCAACGGGCCCGACCGTCGCTACGTTGTTGCTTTCGCCTGGCCTTGTTGAAGAAGTTTACGTAGTCTACAAGGTTTTGAAGACTCTTCCCTAGTCAGTTTAGGTTGTTTTAGGACGAGATATTCCCTTATAAATAGGGGCACGACTCTCTAGCTTAGTAAGGCTGCAAAAACACACAAAATTCTCTGTAACACTTAACTTGGGTGATACCCTAGTCAAATTTGATTGTATTAGGATGTGATCTGGATTATTATATGAATGCATGCTATAATTTCATCTCATGCTTGTGTTTATATATGAGATTTTCGATGCCTATTACTATTTATGGATGCTTTTTGTATTCAATGCTTATGATGGTCATTGATATTTCTACAGTATTACCATTGATGCTTATGATTCTACTGTACGTTATTATATGCATTATGCATAGTATTGCCTAGGTTTGGATTCTTTTGTACAAAATTGGTGGACCCCACGGATTTGGGAAACCCACATAATTTGGTTAGATTTAAGAGAATGAACCAAATCTTTGATACTAAGTGAACCAAACCTTCATAAAATATTAATCCAAACAACAATTTTCTTGAATCTCAAATGAACCAAATCTGTCACCAGTTCTTCATTTTTCAAATCCCGGGATTTAACACATACCTTTTCTAAAATCTTTGAAGGTAGGGGTGAAAATCAGTACGATATTGGTATCTTGGTACCAAATATCGAACTGTGTCCTTAAATCAATCCCGATCCCTAAATAAATTTGGTATCTCAATCTCAAAATATTTCGTTACGATACGATATTCTTGAATACCAAATAAATTATCTTTGTAATTAATAATTAAATATATACATAAAAAAAATTAATAGTTTGAACACCTCTCGGAACCTTTTTATGTAAGCTTCTAGGTTTTATTGCATGATTGAAAACCTTGGTGATGAGAAGTTAAGGTGAGGAAGTTTAAGAAAACTAATAACAGCCCCCATTATTCAATTGAAGTATCTATTCATTAGATTCATCGGAGGTTCTTATTTGGGGTTACGACGTAGGGTGGGAATCAGTTGTGGTTTTGCAGTTTAAATGCTAACCATACCGAAATCACGCGGTTAGTGGTTAATCGCAAACTGAAAAATAGGATATTTTACAGTCGTTGTTAGCAATATTCCATGTTTTACGGTTTATGGGTTGATTGCAACCACAATCGAACAACATGTAATCGCATTTTAACCGAGTACTGACGTGGTTAACCGCGATTAGTGCGTTTAACTGTGACACAATGGCATAACCATAGACCAAAATGTCCCCAAACCATTAGAATGGTTAGTAACGTGGTTAAACGTTACCGCACTTTGCATTTAGTGGTTAAACGCAAACCATTTGTGGTGCAGTCATGATTGGCGTATATGGCTCTGTTTCGGTTGCGATCCCTAGTTACGAGACTAAGTAAAGGGTCTCAACTTTGCCTAAAGTTAAGGTAGAGACAATGAGAAGAGACGAGATTGTGATATCTCAATTTTTTTCTCTTGGTAATCTTTGATTCGATGGACTGAGGCTGAGAAAAAACTGATGATAATGTATTTTTTGGTGTCATGAAAATAACAAGATATTTTACTGTATAAAATAACAAAATCGAGATTGACTGGGAGACGAGAGTGACCTATGATAACTTGGAAGCTAAGCATAGATTGGATGGGGGCCTGCGAGTTGTCAGCGAGTGAGAAATGTCATCTCCGTATTTTGATATATACCGATCCTAATCTGAAATACCGAGTAATATCCTAAAATCAATCCCCATCATAATTACTAAAAAATAATAAGAGCACATTGAAATTGCATTATGACATCACATTCATTTTCAGTTGCATTGATGTAGATGACATTGCATCTTTGCAAGCTTGCATCTAATGCAATTATGGAATGCAGGCAACATAATTTTTTAATTATAATTTTTTTTATACCTAAGTGTTTATGTAATTATAATTAAATTTGGTGCCAATAAAAAGCATAACTACAATTGCATTTGTATAAATTCTCTAATACCAAATTGTGATAAATTTGGTATGATATTTTAACATACGATGTACAACGGAAAATGGAGGGTCATGCTGGATGCATTGATGGGCTTGTGCAACTGGTCCACAACTATAATATGTATGGGCTGCTCCTAAGCGGAGTTCGTCAGGCCGATATGGACGACCCAACAGTAATTTGTCTGGTTCTGATCACAGTGCTGCCCTGTTCTAGCCTCTAGGTGAGATGCAGAGGGATTGTGGATTTGTGGCAAGGCCTTGCTTGTGCAATGCTTTCAAGCTCAAGGATTTGGAATTGAAGGCGTACGTGCGTGGCTTTCGCTGTCCACCTTCTTGTTCTCACAAAAAAGCCTGTGAGCACCATAGTTGGATGTACCTCGTACATCGAACCGCTAAAAAATCGAACTGTACAATGGCCAACGTCCATCATCAGCACTGTAGCAAAATCCAATCCGAAAGAGCACAAGAAATAGAAACCAGCTACAAGCAACTAAGCACAACAAATTGCCTGTGCAATTTAGACCTGCATGATAGACAAGCATAGCAAAGAGTAGAAGATGGAAGAGTAGGGAGCAATAATGAATACCCAAACATGGACCTCAATACTCATTGAAATAGCAACCAAAGCATTTTTCAGGAAGTTCATCTAACGTCGGATTTTGTTGTTAGAAAGACGGCGAGCTCTTCAGTTGAGCGGGGAAATCGCGCATGGAGGAAAAGGAAATGTGCGTAGTAGCCCTTTCTCTGTGACTCTGTTTCTCATAATACACCCACTGAGAGGCTGCCTTTTCTCAATAAGACAGCGTAACTGTTTTCCTAGTAAGATTAACCAACTTCTTAGCTTTTGGGAATTCGTATGCAATTAGGGTTCATCACTAACAAAATTACACAGCGTGGAAGACAACAGACAGAAACCCTATCCAAAAGTAGAGCTAACTCTACTTCCGAAGCTACCCTTTTCTACCATGCATGATGTACTCACTACCAAGTACCAACTGTTGTCTCAAAAGTACCCTCCCTCGACTCTGCTCGCAAGCACCGGTAACCAGCAGTACTACAGCTGAAATCGTATTTTGAAACTCAGCAAGTATTGTTAAACAAGGGTACTGCAGCAAAGCTGAAACTGTGAACCAATCACCCATCAAGGGCTCAACTTAAGTAGGATTTCATCAAGACTTTTTAACAAACATACACGACAGAGCAGAATGATGAAGCAAAATTAGAGAACACACTAGGACGACAACGATCCTATCCACCACAAAGAGAGAAAAAAACAGAACCAACAAGAGTTAGATGATTACAAAACGGAATAAGCACATTGTCTGTAAACATGGACGGACGGACGGACAGCCAGGAACAAAAAGAAAAGCAAAAACGTCCAAACAAAGCTAGCAATCTGCATACAGCAATTGCATCAATGGCGCCCTCTCAAGTCTTACCCATCAATGGGCACTCCACTCCGGCCGCCAACAGCAACAACCTCGCCGGTGGCCACTTCCGGCTGATCAGCCTCCTCCTGTTCCTCCTCCTGCTGAAGCTGGTCATCATCAACAACAACAGGTGGCGCCAAAACCAGCGGAGGCGAAGGTGGGGGCGAAGGAGGGTCAGGGATAGTCTGAAGCGTGATTGTACATAGATGTGGAACCAGATTTGGGTCATACAGACTGTAGTAGTCCATGATGATAAGAGTAGTACCTAAAACCTGCACCCAATGAGCCAGCTGATTACGATTTTACTTTACGAAGGCGATGAGCCGTAAGCGAGCAGGAACGGTTTGATGAATGTTCAAAGAATGCAGAGAAACACCCTATTTATACTAATAATAACAAGTACCGGGTGGGTTGCTGTTGTCCGCCACCGCCACGGATTGGGCTTCCAGTTTGCCGGCCCATAATTTAATTGCTACTGAAAGCTAAGCCTAGCCCATCTCCTCCTTACTCTCTCCCACCTCAAAACACAAAACAAAAAAAAGATTCAGAACTCTAAAACAGAATCAAACCTCTAAGAATCAACATGCAACCCGAAAGCAGAACCTACCTTTGACATTCTTCTTCGACGCCGTCATCGTCATCGCCGTCGGGGGGTAACAGAGGGTTCGCTAGACATGGGATTTGGGGTTTGGATCTGAGCTAGAGAAGAAGAGGGATTGAGAACAGAGAGGCGAGGGAGTGAGGATTGAGGGAAGACCAGCAGGAGGAGGGTTAGTCGATTGTTTTCTGGAGATGAGAAAGAGAATGACGAGAGGAGGAGGGATTTCAGTCCGATTTTTCCTCTGGGTCGTGTTTTGTGGCGGAAAGAAACGAGAGGGAAAGAGCAGTGGAGCGGCGCTTAGCCAGGACAAACAAATTAGGGTTTCGATTTGGCCTTAAGAGAGGTCTCAAGGCTAAATGACTAATATGCCCCTCTGGAAGTGTTGGAAATTTACGATAGTTGCCACCGCCCCATCCACCTTAAAATGACGAAAATAAAAAATAACTGCTCAATTTAGTATCAAAACCTCAGACCATGAGCTCGTTACTATCCCTAAATCAACACAATTAGCCACCAAGCCATACCATTACGCTTGAAACCCTATTATCTTCATTTCAATAAATTTCTATTTAAACTTAATGCGCAATATTTCCATCGATTAATCTTACTAAGATTTTTTTCATTTGACCAAACTATGTCTCTCTCTAAATATTTCAAGATACTAAAAACCTTGTTTATCACATTCGCTTTGGCTTCATTATTCAGGCACATACTCGTTTTACTTTGAAAATTCTTTAATACAAAATCGTTGGTCAATAGACCACGATTTTCTTTATGACAAAATTTATCTCATCACCTTCAATCATAAATACCAAATTACATCTCTTAAATGAGAAAATCAATTTTGATCTTAATCGCGTATCAATAGAAACGTGTTAAGACCTCAACTTTAAAAATCTCAATTTCAATGAACTACGTGGACTTTGATCCCGACTAAGTCGGGTACGTAGGCAACCAATAGGTTCGAGTCCAACCAATCTAAAAAATATTTTTACGTGAAAATTATCGAGTAACTACACAGTTCAAAATTTACGGTAATAATATCGTCCAATTGAACCCTAAAAATGCACCCTAAATTATTAAAATAATTCAATTAAATACATCAATAAAGCTGCAAATAATAATACACCCAACCCTTAAAAATTTATCGATTTAAATAGTACCCATTTGGGGCGTTGTGGGGTGTGAATACACTTCCCCACACTTAACCGTACTCCCGAATCCCGAATCCTAAATTTCGCAAACCAAATCCTGGTTGAGACCCTAAGGTTGAGACCGGACCAAAAGGTGTTCGATCCACCACAATATAAGATCGATGGCGACTCTGAGCAAATCGTGACGGATCCCCCTATCCGGAGGGGCGGTTGCGACAGTGCCGACTCCGCTGGGGACTATTTGAGAGTTGAGCTACATTAAATCGATAAGATTTTCTTACCTTCTTTTTGGGTGTTTATTATGTTGTTTGCGCTTTTAATATTCCTCGAATTTAATTATATGCATTCATACATCAAAGCTCTATGCCCGAGCTCTACCTCTAAGAAAAGGAAAGGAGTAGCGTTACCTCTACAATAGTAGAAGGATAACGTGAAACTTTCTAACCAAGTTGAACTAAAATCCGAGGTTGATTTGAGGTATCTGACCAAACTCGAATGGATTTTGGTCTGATACAACTTGGGAAACAAAACCCTACAACTTCTTACCCCAACATATAGTCCGCTTAGTAAACCACCTAATCCACAACTTATCCCAGAGCCTACATAAAACTACGACGTTATTCTACCGAAAAACCCCTAGGATTGCCCAAATAGGGTAATGTGCTTTCTATTTTGCTTATGATGAATGGTTTGTGTTTTTTGGTTACTCACGAATAATGTGTGTGCATAAAAGTTTCTCAAATCCATGATACGTGCGTTCAATCGTTAATTTATTGTAAGAAGATTTTTGCAAAAATCTCATTCATTCACTATATTCCATTTTTCATTAATGCATTCACATTTCATTGCATATCATTCTCATCGCATCGATTAAAAATACCAACAACAGCCGATGAACTGACCAAGGTTTCTTAAAATTGCTCGTCCACATGGAAAACTTCTCATTCTCGGGCCAGTAATGGAGGCATTTCAGAGGCAAATATACGACATCAATGAAAATTTGTCAAGGATCAATCAATTGAAGGAAAAGCTAACAGGATTTGAAGAAATGAAGGATCAACTATGCATATTGTTAAAAATGATGTATGGAAAGAAGAAAGAGGTAGCGGCCAATGAAGTAGAATTATCGTCTGACGAGGAAAAGCATTACGAGCCACCTAACAAAGAAGACATAGGACCATCAACACATGATGATCCAGACACAAAAGAGAAAGTGGAGGAAACCAAGGCCGAAGCGATATTAAAAGAAAAGTGGGAGTACCTCGATTAGCGGGGTCATAGAAGGAGTTGAATCGTATGGGGCTACACATGCAACACAACTCTGCTTAGTCCCTGACTTGGTAATCTCGTTGAAGTTCAAAATGCCAGAGTTTGAGAAATACAATGGTACAACCTGCCCGAGAAGCCACCTCATTATGTATTGCAACAAGATGGCCAGCCATACTCGAGATGAGAAGTTGATGATACATTGCTTTCAAAATAGTCTAGAAGGTTTTGCCCTAAGATGGTACATACAACTTGAACAAACAAAGGTAAAAAGATGGCAAGATCTTGGAAATGCATTCATGAAGCACTATAAGCATAATCAAGATTTGGTTCAAGATAGGGAAGACTTAACATGGAAAAGAAGGAGAATGACTCGTTCAGAGAATATGCCCACGAGTGGCGAGAAAGAGTAGCAGATGTTCAACCCTCATTATCGGATAATGAAATGGTGTCAATCTTTTTCGAGACACTAAAGCCACCATATTACAACAATATGGTGGGAACTGCTAGTCTGCCACAACCAACTTTGCAAATTTGTTGGTAATTGGAGAGCGAATAGATAAAGGGTTTAAACAAGGAAAAATGGGAAGCCCAGAAGCTTCTATGAGATCAAGCCAAAACACGAAGGAAGGAGAGGTTCATCAAGCTTCTTTTTATGTTGCAACTGCTACACCAGTACTACAATTTCTAAACACTGCCAACCAACCAACGGTCTCAAATCAAATGTCATTACCACATTAGGGAGGTGATCAAGATAAGAGTAGCATAAGGAAACATAAAAAGGAATTTGACCCTATTCCAGTCACGTACACCGAGCTATTTCCCCAACTACTAGAAAGTCGTTTAATTTCCCCTATACCATGTCAACCGATGCAACCGCCATATCCAAGATGGTATAACACAGAAGAACATTGTGATTACCACTCAGGAGCCGTGGGGAATTCGAATGAGAATTGTAACTGGCTAAAAAGCAAGGTTCAACACATGGTGGCAGCCGGGTGGCTAACATTCGAAGAAGAAGCCAATCGTCCAAATATCAACATCAACAACAACCTACAACCCAGTAATGGGAATCAACAACCCAGTTTGGATTCCGAGGAGTCAAATGGAGCAGCAGCACAGAACAAGTCTTCTAACTCTGTAGAGGAATCACAAAGCATTGCATTCCTGAAGCCAGACGAGGCACGTGGAACCCTCTATGCAAATTTCGCCGCCATTTATGCCATGCAAGGAGAGCTCGAACAAGCCTACCATTTTGTGACACAAGCATTGACCCTCGTCCCAGGGAACCCGGAAGCCACGTTGACGGCAATGTACCTGGACCTGTTGCTCGGTAAGTCTGAATCGGCCGTTACCAGGTTAAAGCAATGCAGCCGGGTAAGGTTCGTTTCAAGCAATGTAGTATTGAACAAATATTGATATTGGTGGGTTTGTTCATTGGGTTTGTATCAGTTTGAGTACAGCCGGGATGGGTTCGTTTCACTCAGCATTCTTGTCTCCTGGTTCGCTCCGTTCAGTGGTTAGCTTAGCAAAGGTAGATCCTGGTGTAGGGTTTTGTAACATATATATAGCTGACTTCAGAGAGAATAAAATTTTGGGTTTTGGTTATTTTTCGTCGGTTTTGGTTCCCAAATTTAGGAGTCGGAGGTAGTTTGGGAGGAGGGTTTGAATTGATCGGTGTTGGCCTGAGGATTGATTGTTTGTGGGGTATGAACAGGCGAGAAGAAGAGCCAGCACCATTTGAAGATTTGTAATGTTATGCTTCTTGTTGAGATTGCCAGGAAGTATTCAGCAGGAAGAGAGTGTGTGAGGGAGATGGAGGGATGGAGAGAGACAGAAGGAAAATGGACTATTCAACAGTTTTCTTTCACATCTCAAAACTGTTATTTCAATGCGTATTTGAGGTCCATTTTTGGGGTATTCATCAGTTCTCTTCCACCTTCTACTCCTTGCTGTGCTTGCCTCTCATGCAGGTCTGAATTGCACATGCAAATTTTGTAGTGTTTTGTTGCTTATTACTTATTAGTTGGTTTCTATGTTGTGCTCTTTCGGAGTGGATTTTGCTACTTACTAGTTACTATGCCGATGATGGACGCGTTGATGGTCGTTGGATCGATTGCACAGTCCTTCAATTTCAGCCGTTAGTAATGATGATCCAATATTCAACCGAGAGACATCATAGACATGCTATTTTTATCGGGAAATCATTTATTCTTTTTCTTAAAAAGCGCAAGCCAGTTCATGGATAATGTATTTACTCAATTGTGTGATCTCAAAAGTGGGGTGTAAACTGACAAATCTTATTCAATGAAAGAGAAACAAATATATACAAGATTTCAGCCAACAAACTTGACAGTTTCCAACGTCCATCACCCCATGACTCCACTAAACCAGCACACATGATCACTTGATCGACTCTGCACTAAACTGAAACTCCTATCTTTCTGCAAGTACCAACTTGACACAAATTAACAACTTAAGAGACTGAACTTTAAACAAACAAAGACTCCAGCAAATTCAAACTTCATTCTCCTGCCGCCAAAAGCTCCAGCAACCAGGGTTTGACTTCTTGCTCCAACAAATCCTCCCCTGAACTGAAGCCTCTTCTGCCAGCTTCAGTTCATCTTGCTACAGCCTTTCCTTCACCCTTCAATTTGAACTCAGCAACGTCACAGACTCCTAGCTTGTTCCTCAGAGATTGAAATGCATCTTGCTTGAGAGGTTTTGTCATGATATCTGCTACTTGTTCCATAGTTCCACAGTACTCCAGCTCAATGATGCCTTCTTTTGCCAAATCTCTCAGAAAATGGAACCTTACATCAATATGCTTGCTTCTACCATGCATCACAGGATTTTTGGAGAGTTTTATGGTCGAACTATTATCACACATCACTTTGGTAGCTCCTTTCACACAAGCTTTCCATCCCATCTGATTTAGTATGTTCCTTAACCAAACACACTGAGCTGCACAATAAGAAGCAGCCACAAATTCAGCTTCCGTGGTTGATAAGGTAACCACAGGCTGCTTCTTTGAAGCCCAAGAAATGGCTCCACCTGCTAAGAAAAACACATAACCTCCAGTACTTTTTCTATCATCAGTATCTCCTGCATAATCACTATCAGTGAATCCTAGCAGGCTGTCTTTTTCCTCACTTGCAACTTTGTACCAAATTCCAGTGGTCATGGTTCCTTTGAGGTATTTCAGAATCCTTTTTGCAGCCAACATGTGAAGCCTTGTGGGATTCTCCATGTACCTGCTAAGCAGACAGACTGAGTGCATAATGTCAGGTCTGGTAGCAGTAACATAGAGGAGACTACCTATTAGCTGCTTATATTCTGTAGGATTCACTGCAACTCCATCTCCTGCTTTTGTCATTCTTCACAAAGTTGCATTCCATCAAACCAAATCTGTCCAGAACTTCTTTAATGTACTTCTGTTGATTGATGAAAATGCCACCTTCAGTCTGAGTTACTTCAACTCCTAGGAAAAATTTCATTTTCCCCAAATCTGTCATTTCAAATTCAGACTGCATTTGCCTTTTGAACTCAACAATCAGATCAGGATTGTTGCTTGTGTACATCAGGTCTTCTACATAAAAGCTAACAAGGAGAAAGCCATTTTCAGTTGACTTTATAAACACAGTGTGTTCATAATCACACCTTCTGAAACCAGTCTGCAGAAACCAGGCTTCTATCCTGCTGTACCAGGCCCTGGGAGCCTGCTTCAGACCATACAAAGCTTTCTGAAGCTTGTATACCTTTTCTTCCTCCCTAGCAACCACAAATCATGGTGGTTGCTCAATGTAAACATCTTCAGAAAGCTCTCCATGCAAGAACGCGCTCTTAACATCAAGCTGGAAAACAGTGAGACCATGATGTGCAGCAAGAGCCATAAATGTTCTTATAGTATCCCATCTAGCTACTGGGGCAAAGACCTCAGTGTAGTCAATACCTTGCTTTTGAGAGTAACCTTTTGCTAATAACCTTGCTTTGAACTTGTCAATTGAACAGTCCTCTCTAAATTTGGTTCTAAAGACCCACTTGACTCCAATTGGTATCACACCTGCAGGCAGAGAAGTCAGTTTCCATGTATTGTTTTTAATGATTGCTGCAATTTCCTTTTTCATGGCTTCTCTCCATTTCTCATCAGTAGCAGCTTCCTCATAGCTTTGAGGATCTCCACTTACAGCAACCATGGCCCACCAATCAGTTTCGACAAAGCCGCAGCCATAATCTGTCAGATGGGATGGTGGCTTTCTCACTCTAGGACCCAAACCTCCACTAGAAAGTCCCAGAGAATTAGCATCAGTTGTATCATCATCTGACTCACCTTGACCTGCTTCAGTTTGAGGTGAGCTTGTGTTCAGAGTTTATGGGACTGGGAGGTTCAGTTTCCTCAGTTGCATCTACTGTCCTCTCTTGCTGCTCATCTTCAGCATCAGAATTTTCCCACTGTTCTTCACTTCCTTCCCAAACCAATCTGGTTATCTCAGGCTGAGCATCTGAATCACAAGGCCATCCTTCCTCCTCATCAAAGGTAACATCTCTACTAATCACCACTTTGTTTGTAATGGGATTAAAGAGCTTGTATGCCTTTGATTCTATCGATATTCCCAAAAACTGACATTTAATGCTCTTTGCATCTAACTTCTTCCTTAGATGATCATGAACATGGACATAGCCTGTTCAACCAAATATTTTAAAATGCTCTACAGAAGGAGGTGAACCTGTCCAGATCTCCTGTGGTGTCTTACCATCATTTGCTGTGGTTGGACTTCTGTTCAAGACATGAGCAGTCCAAGCCACAGCTTCAGGCGAGAAGACTGCAGGCACCTTAGTGTCCTCTAGAGAGCACCTTACCATGTTCATAATCGATCTATTCTTCCTCTCAGCAACACCATTTTGCTGGGGAGTCAGAGAAGCTGTAAGTTGCCTTCTGATCCCTGATTCCTCACACAAACTTTGAAACTCTTTCAATAGGAATTCTCCCCCCTGTCAGTTCTAAGACTCACGATATGATGGCCAGTTTCATTCTCAACTTGTAATTTGAATTTCTTAAAGCATGCAAGTGCTTCAGGCTTTGCAACTAGGAAGTAAACCCATAGCTTTCTGCTCAAGTCATCGGTAATGGTTAGAATGTACCTTTTTCCTCCATTAGAAGCTGGAGTAATTGGACCACATAAGTCTGCATGCACCAGCTGCAATTTTTGACTTGCTCTCCAACTGCTCTTTCTTGGAAAACTGTGCCTGGCTTGCTTTCCTACCAAACAAGTAGAGCAAACTCCCAGTTCTCCTGTAAGCTTAGGAATACCTTGGACCAGCCCTTTTCTTTGAATCTCCAGTAATCCCCTAGAATTCAGGTGACCAAACCTTCTATGCCAGAGAGTCAGATTGTTCTCTTTCTCGGCTTTAGTAATCTGTAGGCATTGCATTGCTGCACAGGAAATATTCTGACTTGCTTGCTTTGCATGCAAGACAAACATCCTGTTTGTCTTCATTGTTGTTTGCAGAATCAAACCCTTTTCAGCATGAAAGATTTTGCAAGTACCATTCTTTATCAGAAAAGTCAGGGATACACATTTGGCAAAGGTTCCCTCACTCATCTTTGCTTTGCTTCACTCACCAGGTTTCTATCGTCCTCCCTCTCTAATCACACTCGTGTTTCCCAACCTAGAAAGATTTTAATGTTTTTCACTCGTCACTTTTCTCTCTTTGCTTGAAAGCAATATGCAGATTTCATGGTTACAGTTTACCAGACAGCTCTGATACCACAATGTGATCTCAAAAGTGGGGTGTAAACTGACAAATCTTATTCAATGAAAGAGAAACAAATATATACAAGATTTCAGCCAACAAACTTGACAGTTTCCAACGTCCATCACCCCATGAATCCACTAAACCAGCACACATGATCACTTGATCGACTCTGCACTAAACTGAAACTCCTATCTTTCTGCAAGTACCAACTTGACACAAATTAACAACTTAAGAGACTGAACTTTAAACAAACAAAGACTCCAGCAAATTCAAACTTCATTCTCCTGCCGCCTAAAGCTCCAGCAACCAGGGTTTGACTTCTTACTCCAACAAATCGAGCTTGGAAAGCGACCCAATCCGTGAGTGAATTCAGCCGAAGGAACGAACTCTATCTCGATCCTTGGAGCAGAATGAATGACCGTTAAGATTACATGCTCATTCAAGTAACTACTGCTTAACATGAAGTTTGATTCATATACTACTGCTTAACATGAAGTAGCTGATTGATCCCTATAGATTAGCAATCTAACCAACCCCTAGGTTTCCGACTTTGAGTTTGAACAACACACGACTACAACGATACCCATATGGCCATATCTGTAACACTTTAGGCGAATCCCACATCGTCAAAGCACATGAGAGATCCATGGTTCATAAGTAGGAAACCGGCCTTAACTGACAAGACGCGTTTTGGGATGAAATGGAAGAGTTCTTGTGAGAACTCCAAAGTTAAATGTGCTCAGTAACATGGATGTGTGACCTTATGGGAAGTCACCTTGAATTGCACCCCAAGTCGAAAATCGTGAGGGTCGAGGCCCAAAGTCACGGTTCGAGGCCCAAAGCGGACAATATCTTCGTCGAGAAAAGGTTCGGGATGTTATAATATCCATTGAGCCAAAAAAAAAAAAAACAAGAGTTAAATTAAACGATTACAAAAACAAACAAAACGGAATCATAAGCACATTGGCTGCAAAATTAAACGTCCAAACAAAACTAGCTAGCTGCAACTCCAATTGCATCGATGGCGACCTCACAAGTCTCTTATCCATCAATGGCCCTCCACCGGAACCACCGTCGCCACCGTGGTTTGAAGAACCTGCAGCTCCAGTACTCCCGCTGCCAACAACAACCTCGCTCACGGCGGCGACTTCCGGATCAGCCTGCTCATCAACAACAACAACAGGTGGCGCCAAAACCAGCGGAGGCGAAGGCGATTCAGGGATACTCATAATCGAGAAACTCCTTGGATTTGGTTTATAACGATGATTCTCCATGATGACAGACTACTTTATGATTAACCTGCACCCAACACAGAGCTAGGCCGCTTATACCCACGATTACTTTAACAAAGTAAAAGCAAACTGTACGTATCTTAGGGTTAGGGTTTCCGAAAATGGATAGAGCCAAGGAAGAAAGAGGAGCAACGTTTTACCTTTTGCTCCTGACCGGATTTCACGCATCGGTGATCTCGAACGATTTAGCGAAAGAACTAGAAAACACGATAAAAGAGCTATTTTTCTTTACTAACTACTAATATTTTATTGATTGACGGAATAAAACGAAGAGCAAAGGTACATACAGCGGCGGATCCAGAATACAGAAGTGCACTGGGCCGCATTTTATTAGAAAATTAGAATAGTCAAAAAATATTATGATTATAATATTTTTACAATGTAAATTATACACGACAGTATTTTAATTTAGCGAATGCATTAATAAAGGAGTCCACATCAATACCAATAGTATACACTGTTTCAAATAAAATACTTGAGCAATCGAGTAGAAATTCATCGCTCATTTTGTTGCGCAAATCAATTTTCACATGTTTCATTGTTGAAAAGGTTCTATTCGTATTAGTTGTTGAAACGAGCAGCATCAACAATAGACAAATCAATCTACTAATCAATTTGCATTGTGTTTCCATCCCTATATCCACCAGGTGCTCTAGTAAATTTTCAAGGTAACAAACCTCATATATGTTTTAAGTCTTTTACGTTTAATACTTATTGAATTTTTAGGTTTCATTGTTTTTTAGACGAATAACCTTTGGGGTTAGAATTTATAAGCTAAATTTAGAGTAGTGATTTTGAATATGTTCATCTGAATCATTTTTCTAATTATACCCAATCTTATTTTAAAATAACAACGACCCGAATATCTAAAATCGAAAAATTCATAAGGCCTATACTAACTATGGATCCAGAGGAGGGCTGGGCCGGGGGCCCGGGGTGGCCAGCCCCTGGATCCGCCACTGTGTACATATTTATAGGACTAATCCTACAAATCCTTCCCTCTTAAGACAAGGAAATCCAAACCTAAAGCAACAAGTAAACGAATACTTCCTGAACAAGATACGTAAATAATAATTCTAGACCCAAACCAATACGAATAACCTGAATAATAACCGAATATCCCAACAAATAATAATAATAATAATAATAATAATAATAATAATAATAATAATAATGGGCTCGGCCCAAAATGCTGTCACGCATCAGCTCGCTTTGTAAAAATTGAAGATTAAGTACATAGAGAACCTCCTCCTATATATACTATTAGCTAAGTAACAGTTACCTTTCCTTCCTTCACACGGACGGAAAAAATGCTTTTACAATGAGAAAAAATGTTGCCACTTGGTTTACCTACTGGATACGTTCTCGATTTTCTCTTCTGTTCTGTTTTTTTACTTCGGATTTTTCAGTTCTTTTACAATGGGAAAAAAGATTGCATATATACATTAATTTCAAAAATATGGTGTTTGGTATAATTGTCATGGTGATTCTGTAAAATGTGAATACAATCAATCTCATTTATAAGTAGAAGACTTGGATACCCTCTAATAGTTTTCCTAGCCACCATAGCTCCCAATTCAAACAGGAGAGAGAAAGAATATTAGGAATATAGCTCACGATCTCATGCAACACTTCGAACAACTGACAATGTTGAAATGATTATCATAGTAATTAGGCTAAATTTTATTAATCATGGAATATAATATTATAACTAAACCGTCCAAATTAATACAACAATCAAATTAACCAAACTAAAGATTAATCAGTTTGGTTGATTGGTTAACCAATATAACATCACATTATCATTAACTGAGAAGATTTTCCGGTTAGTGCATCGATTCACAATTCATGTAATGAATCACACATAACAATCAACATATAATTACAGCTAACCCTTAAGATAAATACACGTAACAAACACAATTATCTCCCTTAACATAAATACATGTAACAAATACAATTATCTTACATTTGACTATTGAGTGGTTATGCGAAATATTAAGTATGTGTAGATAGTATATATTAGATATATGGCTAATTACGTAACTTGTTCATTTGATTTGATTTATTAGCACTAGGAGTGTCTGAAACCAAACCAAATCACCTAAACCAAACAAGTTAACACTTGAAGCTGACTGACTCAAACAGTACAAACACTTCTCCTTTATCTCTTGCGCCTATGCTGCCGCCTGCCAGCTTCACCCGTCCCCCACCTCGCCGCCTCTTCATTTCTCCCCCATCCCTCGCCTAAATTAAGGTCTCAAATAAAAACTCAAATGCAAGTTCGTGCTAAGGAGGGAAACCGATCTACCAACCTTTCCTCCGGAGTTCACGACAAAACAGGGTCGTCGCCGGTCAGGAAATCATCAACCTTCTCTTCTTGGCCGCATTCTTCGTAGACGATGAGAAGAAAGTCCAGAGCTGGGGAATTTGCTCTCTGAGCTTTTCCATTGATGAAACAGCAGTATATATACAAGGATTTACACTAATCACTATAACTTAACGGCTATCAAAACTAACAAACAAAATGACCCATCAAAGCTGTACACGTTTGTCTAACTACAGTAAATAATGAAAGGCAGTCCGTTGATGAAGCGCTGCATTTTGTATGCCACTAATCTCGCACGTCATCGTTTCATTCAGCTTCATCTTGCTTGTCTTGAACGCTGCCGTTTTGCTCTGTTCTTCTTCCTTCGTCATGTTCTTCAGTTCCAGAACAGAGCTTTTCTTCTTCTTAGTTGCTGTCAAGCAACTCCTTTCTTCTGGTAAATCATCATCACCATCATGGCTCCTTGTTACCCTCCCACAAGCTGGCGAGTATATGTCATATACTCCCAGCTTGGATAGCAAGGAGGCAAATCGATCCACTGATAAGCTCTTAGTGAAGATATCTGCAGGTTGCATTTCTGTTGAAATGTGATGTAATGAAATCAACCCTGACTGCACTCTTTCTCTTATGACATGACAGTCAACATCTATGTGCTTTGTCCTTTCATGAAAAACAGGATTTTCAGCGATGTGAATCGCTGATTGATTGTCACAGAATACCTTGACTGTTTGAGAATGATCCACTCCAAAGTCCTTTAACAATCTGATTAACCATTCAATCTCACAGCTCAAACTTGCCAAGGCTCGATATTCTGCCTCTGAAGAAGACCTGGATACTGTCTTTTGTTTCTTACTTTTCCATGTTATAATTCCTGAGCCAAGAAAAGTACAGTACCCAGTTATAGATTTCCTTGTGTCTGGACAAGTGGCCCAATCTGAGTCACTGAAACCTGTCAATTCAAGCTTGGTATTCTTAGGGTAGAGCAATCCTTGACCTGGTGAACCCTTAAGATACCTGAGCACTCTATGTAAAGCCCTCAAATGCAGTGTTGTTGGGCTGTCCTGGTATGTACACAATTGCTGAACTGCAAATGCAATGTCTGGTCTGGTGGTTGTTAGGTATTGTAGTTGTCCTACAAGATGCTTGTAACCTGCAATATCAGTCAAAGGAGTTTCCCCTACAGCAGACAGAACTTCTTTGACATAAATGGGAGTAGGTGTAGGTTTACAATCCTTAAACCCAGATTTTGTTAAGAGTTCTAAACAATACTTTCTTTGTGAGATTGTGATTCCCTTAACTCCCCTTGTGACTTCCAGACCAAGAAAGTATTTTAACTCTCCCAAATCCTTCATTCTGAATTCCCCTTGTAAGATTCTTTTGGTTTCTGCAATGGATTCCAGGCTAACACTTCCAATCATAATATCATCAACATACACAATGAGTACCACCAATTCTCCTAGAATCTGAGCTGTGAAAATGGAATAGTCTGAGGAGGTTTGATGAAAGCCATGCTTCAATAGGCTTTCAGTCAATTTGGTGTACCATTGTCTACTTGCCTGCTTTAATCCATAGAGTGATTTTCTTAAATGACAAACTTTCCCTTTGCAATCAAATCCCATATCCAAACCTGGTGGAATTTCCATGTAGACTTCCTCTGTCAAATCACCATTTAAGAATGCATTGCTCACTCCATCTGATGCAAGTGCCAATTTTGAACAGTTGCAACAGCAAGCAAGGTTTTGACTGAACTCAGCTTGGCTACTGGTGAGAAGGTGTCACAGTAGTCAATGCCATAGATTTGATTGTATCCTTTAGCAACCAGCCTTGCTTTGTATCTTTCCACTGATCCATCTGAAAGTAATTTCACTTTGAAACCCCATTTGCAGCCTATTGGTTTCTTGCCAACAGGCAAATCTGTGATCTCCCATGTGCTATTATCAATCAAGGCCTTTAATTCCTCCTGAACTGCTTTCTTCCAGTGAGAGTTTTGCATTGCTTCTTGATAAGTAGCAGGTTCTGTATGTGCAGCCAGGCTGTTTATGAAGTGCTGGTGTTTAGGGAGCAAATGAGTATAAGAGAGTGCTTTGTGAATGGGATGGGGGACATGGTAATCTCTATGCCAATTAGGAGGTCTGATTATTCTGGTTGACTTTCTTAATTGGACATGAGATGGTGAATGAGAAGGAGAATTGAGAGGTATTGGTGAAAAGGGAGAAGAGGAAACAGGACTAGGTTGAGGAATGGGAGATGAAATAGGAGTAGGGGAGAAGACAGTGGGTTGTGAATCCACAGGATGAGTTTGAGAGGTTTGAGGAGTTTGAAAAATAGGAGGGGAATGTGTGGAAGAAGTGGGAGAAGAGGGAGACTGTGTGCCCCCCTCAGACTGTGGATTCTCAGGAGAGGTATAGTTGGTGTCAAAATGGAATGCTGGGATATTGGTACTAGGGGAAGGTGTAGGTGGAAAAATGAAGGGTGTAGAAGAAGGGGATGCTGTAGTGGGAGCAGGAATTGGAGCAAGTGAGGAAGTAGAAGAATGGTTTGAGTAAGGTAAGATGGTTTCATGAAAGACAACATCCCTTGAGCAAAAGACACGTTTGCTTTCAAGGTC